GTCGGAGACGTTTTCGACGACAATTTTCCGCCTCTTGCTCTCCCCAGGCTGAATAGCACCAGGGAGAGTGAGCACAACCGCCACCGCATCGTGTGCGTCGTTGCGCATGCCACGATCCGTAAAAGACGCGCCAACGGCAATGGAGCAGAAACGGGCGACTGCTCCGCAGACCGCGACGTGGTCGCCTTTGAGGTCGGCCGGAGTGGCATGGACCTCCCATACCTTCTCGTCGTTCTGCTCGCGCTGGTAAGCCTCCCGCGCCTCCTGGAAAGTGAGGTTGTCGTCGCCGACTACAAGCACAACGACTGCCTCGTTTAGATTCTCAAGAATCTTGGCCAGGCCGTCCAGGTGCAAGCGGAGATGGCGAACTGTCCGCTTTCGAGTCTGGATGCTCGGCGGTTTCTTGCCGCACACGATGTGCATGTTGGCGATCACCACGTGGAACTTGTCATGGCCTGGTTTGTTCACCTCAAAATGTGAAATAACAGCATCAATATCTCGGCCGCTAGGAGGCCTGTAAACTTTGCTGTCTTCGCACAGAGTCAGTTCCGCAGGCTGAGAAGCACCGCGGAACCCCCAGAGAGTCAAGTAGTTGTCGACCTCCAAGAAGCGAATGCCATCACCGAAAGGCTTACTGAGGATCTCTGTCACGTTGATCCCTGCTCGGCGAAAGCCTTCACGGAACGCACCGACCTCGCAGCCACAGACCATATCAGCATCAGCGGTCTCCACTATCTTGGCGCACAACCTTCCGAAGTTAGCGCAGTGAGTGGCCGCCTGCTTACCAGTCATCATGCCCTGCTCGAACCCGAAATTGAACGAGGCGACCGTGAAAGACGCAGGCTGCACAGCGCCAGAACCAGGCGTCTGTCCACCTTCCTCCGCAGGCTGAGAAGCACCGCGAGGCGGCGCAGGCTGAGAAGCACCGCGAGGCGGCGACACTTCGGACGAGCCTCGCGGAGCAGAGGCTGCGGATGAACGTTGGACATGGGGGTACGGCCAGGGGAACGCCATTGCAATCAAAACTCAGTGGACTGCAGTGAATGAATGTAGTGGCCAATTGAATGCAGAGGACTGCAGTGTCACTAGCAAGTCCTGAACCAAACACAGCTGTGGCGGAAGGAATATGAAGCGTCTGGCTATTCAAAATGTTGCCCGGCAATGGAGTTCTGGGAACTCGAAGACCAGGAAGTGGACTAGAGTTGGCTCTGGGCATCCAAAATGTAGCCCAGGAATGGAGTTCTGGGAACTCGAAGAGCACGAAGTGGCTTACAGTTGGCTCCGGGCATCCAAAATGTGGCCCGGGAATGGAGTTCTGGGAAATGGAAGAACACGAAGTGGCCTACAGTTGGCTCCGGGCATCCAGAATGTGGCCCGGGAATGGCGTTCTGGGATGTCGAAGAGCACGAAGTGGCCTACAGTTGCATCCGGCCCCCCAGAATGTGGCCCGGGAATGGCGTTCTGGGATGTCGAAGAGCACGAAGTGGCCTACAGTTGCATCCGGCCCCCCAGAATGTGGCCTGGGAATGGAGTTCTGGGAAGGCGAAGAGCACGAAGTGTGTGACTGTTGGCGAAAAACGAGTGTGACTGTTGGCGAAAAACGAGCCCGGCTCATGCCGCCCGGAAACGCCCCAACACCTGCCCGGACCCCCCTGTGGAGTGATCTGTGAGCTCTTTTGACACCACTAGAAACCTATCAGTCTTCGCTGCTAGGTAAAAACAGGGGTGCTTCTAAGAAGCCCTCCCCCCTCCCTCCACCCCCCTTGTGCGCGTGGTTGAGTCGGATCTCAACTTATCCCTGCCCACGCCCTCGCGGCCTGGCTTCTGGGGCGGGGTCCCATGAACACGCAGTCGCGTGGGTACGTTTCGCGCGAGGCATCCGAGAAGAGAACGCCCCGTATCCACCGGGTTGCGGCCTGGGGACCTGGCCCGCGAGGCGTGGATACGGACACGTTTCCCCCTACGAGCTGACTCCGCCGCCTCCGCCGTGCGAGGAAATCTGGCTCTCGGGTCATGACTCGTACCTACTCGTACCTCCCTTGGCCGCTCGGGACGATGCCGTCACCCCCCAAAGCTCTCGGCGCGGCGCGGCTGCTGGAAAGCACCCCGAGGCTGGAAGAGTCTCAAGGGTCCTACGACAAGGCCAGAAAGGAAAAACATCAACAAAAAAAAAAAAAAAAAATCCCGGCAAAGCAACCTAACAGCGATGTGTAGGAGCATATCTGGAAGCATTCCCCTTAAGATTCAGATGAGAATCCACTTGTAGAATTCTGCTGTTCTCGCAGTCGTAGTCGCATTCGCGATGACAGTCGCAGTGGCAACGGCAGTCGCAGTCACAGCCTCAGCCTCAGCCTGCCTCAGCCTCAGCCTCAGCCTGCCTCAGCCTCAGCCTGCCTCAGCCTCAGCCTCAGCCTGCTTCAGCCTCAGCCTCAGTCTGCCTTCAGCCTCGGCCTCAGCCTCAGCCTGCCTCAGCCTCAGCCTGCATCAGCCTCAGCCTCAGCCTCAGCCTGCCTCAGCATCAGCCTGCCTCAGCCTCAGCCTCAGCCTGCCTCAGCCTCAGCCTCAGCCTGCTTCAGCCTCAGCCTCAGTCTGCCTTCAGCCTCGGCCTCAGCCTCAGCCTGCCTCAGCCTCAGCCTGCCTCAGCCTCAGCATCAGCCTGCCTCAGCATTCAAAATGTGGCCCGGGAATGGAGTTCTGGGAACTCGAAGAACACGAAGTGGCCTACAGTTGGCTCCGGGCATTCAAAATGTGCCCAGGAATGGAGTTCTGGGAACTCGAAGACCACGAAGTGGCCTACAGTTGGCTCCGGGCATCCAAAATGTGGCCCGGGAATGGAGTTCTGGGAAATAGAAGAGCACGAAGTGGCCTACAGTTGGCTCCGGGCATCCAAAATGTGGCCCGGGAATGGAGTTCTGGGAAATCGAAGAGCACGAAGTGGCCTACAGTTGGCTCCGGGCATCCAAAATGTGGCCCGGGAATGGAGTTCTGGGATCGAAGAGCACGAAGTGGCCTACAGTTGCATCCGGCCCTCCAGAATGTGGCCTGGGAATGGAGTTCTGGGAAGTCGAAGAGCACGAAGTGTGTGACTGTTGGCGAAAAACGAGCCCGGCACCCTGCCGCCCGGCAACTCCCAACGCCTGCCCGGACCCCCCTGTGGAGTGATCTGTGAGCTCTTTTTACCCTACTAGAAACCTATCAGTCTTCGCTGTTAGGTAAAAAACTCGGATCTCTGACGTCACCCGCCGCTGACGTCCGGCGTCGTAGGAACAAGGCAAGGCGGCACCACCACCCACCCGCGCGTGAAGCCAGGGTAGGTGCTCCTGGTGTGGCCCCCACCTTTCGCTCGAGACGGCCACGCATCCCCACTCCAGGGAGGCACCGTGGTGCTCCTCGCTGGAGGTGCCCCCCCTGCTGCTGGTGGTCTCTCGACATGCGGTGTCTTGTTTCTCCAATACGGGGTCCCCAGACGTCCCGACCCATTCTCCAGGACCTTCTTTGAATCCTTAGCCGCGCCGTGGCGGTCATCCTGGGGCCCAGCAACGAGCCCCCAGAGGCCGAAGAACGGCCAGAAACCGACTGTTTGCCACGACGCGAGAAGGTCTGGGTCGCTTTCCTCTGGAAGCAACTACTGGGAAGTCTTCGTCGGAAGGATTAAAGGAGATTGATCAAGCCCCCTTGGGGGGCTGTTACGCAAGAGTGGGCCTCGGACTGAGCGGGATGAATCTGGAAGGATCAAGGGGGATTAAGCCGGATTGGGCGGGATTCAGCCGGATTCTGACGGATTTCGAACCAGGGCAAAATCAGAATTTGACCTCCCAGGAGTTACATCCGAACTTCTCCGTCCCCCCGACAAGAGAGCGAGCGGCCCCCGACGTCGCCTGCAGAGCCCCACGGCCACGTCCGTCCTGCCTTCCCGCCGCTGCTGCTGCGCCCGCCCCGCCCGCCAGCGGCGCAGTCGGGCGGCCTCCTCCTCCCTCCTCCTCTCCTCCTCCTCCTCCTCCTCCTCCTTCTTCCTCCTCCTCCTCCTCCTCCTCCTCCTCCTCCTCCTCCTCCTCCTCGTGTTCCCATCCCCCATCCCCTTCCCTCTCGCCCGCCGGAGGACGCCAGTGCTGCGGCCCAGATAGACTTCCTCGGGCCAGTGCCCTTCCGGATCTGCTGGGAGGGCGCCGCTATGCCTCTCCCCAGGCCCCGACGATTGCCGCTGGGCTGGGCTGGCCTTGCCTCCTCAGCCAGTAAACCCCATATCCTGAGTGCGTGGCGCTGGTTATTACTGGGACGCCTCGACCTCCGCTTGCTGTCTCTCTCTCTCTCTCTCTATATATATGTGTATATATATATATATATATATTGCATGCGTATATATGCATCCCTCTATTTTCATCACATTCAGAACACTCTTATACTCGCAGCCACCACACACATTAGCAGTTACACTCACACTCAAGCTCATCACACCCAGCTCAGATACACGCAAAGTCAGACACACCCTCATTCATACTCAGTAGCACTCATACAAAACACATGCCGTACGCATTCACACGTCACTCGTACAATCAGAACCCCATGCTTATCGCGATGTAGCGGGCGGGAAGGCCAAGCACCGAGATGCACATCCGGGGACCTCCGCTCCGAATCACCGACGGCCGCGGCGCACGGAGAGGGCCTGTGGCGGCAGAGCGTGGCGGAGAGCAGCTGTCGTTGCACGTCTAAAAGGGCTGGATGCCTGAGCAGGCGCCCCGTCCTCCCCCCTCCCCCCCCCTCCCCCTCGCTGCCTCCTCCTCCCCTGCTCCCTCTCACCTCCTCCTCCTCCTCCTCCTCCTCCTCCTCCTCCGCCTCCTCCTCCTCTTCCGCCTCATCCTTCTCCTCCAGTTTTTCAGTATGTTTCTCCTTCTTCTCCAGCTTCCTGTGCGGATCACTTCTCCTCCCCCTTCCTCCTCCGCACTTCGTTCTGCAGCGTCTGCCCAGGGCCCGTTCCGCTGCCAGTGGCGCCCCCCGCTGTCCCCGGCGTCAAGCCCCGCTGGGCCCATGCCGGCGCCGCGCTCAGTGGCCTGCTGGCCGTACAGCGCGCAGAAGAGAGTGTCGCGCTGGAAGAGGATGCGGAGGACGTCCTGCCAGGTTGGTGAGCGCATACTCTGTGCCCTCTCAAGCTCGATTAAGTATGTTGTGTGCCTGTGGCGCGCACTTTCCCGCTCCACTACGCCCATCAAGCTTAATCCCACCAGCCCTCTGGGCGTAGGTTGTTTAACGAACTGTGTCTCCTCTCTTTCCACAGCCCCTCCTTCCCCTGCTCGGGGGAGGGGGATGGCGCGAGGCACTAGAGCGCCCAAGATGGCCCTAGAGGGCTCCAAGAGGGCCTCAGAGAGCCCAAGATGGCCTCCAGGGTGGCTCAAGATAGCTGAAGATGGCTCAAGATAGCCTCCCAAATACATCGAAGACGCCCAAGGACGGCCCCGACATGGTTTCAAGTGCCCTCCGAGCCCTCCAGAGACCCCCCCACGAGGCCAAAATGGCTCTCAGACCCGAGGAAAGTCCATGATGTTTGCGTTCTCGCCTCTTCGCTTCTCACGGGCTTCCGAGGCCTCAAGATAGCCCCAAGACGGCGCAGAGAGCCTCAAGAGGGCCCCAGGAGGGCCCCAAGACCGCACACGAGCATCCCAAGAGCCCCAATCAGGCCCCAGGGTGCAAATGTCGAGCCTCCGAGGGGCGGCCTGAATTGAGGACCTCCCTCCTTTAAAGCTACGGGGGCCAAGACGGCCTCAAGAGACCTCTCATACCCGCCCAAAGGGCCCAAAGAGGGTTCCAAGATGGCTCCCAAAAAGCACCGAAAGGGCCCCAACAGGGGCCTAAGAGGACCTCAAGAGAGCCCTAAGATGGCTCCAAGAGATCCCCGAGAATCTCTCACAACAACGCTTCAACTCGCCTGGCAAAATGTTTCTGAATGGGCTCTGCGCCTAAGTCAGCTCATCCGATTCACACCTTTTGCTTCTATCCCAAGAGCGGTGTCAGCCCAGATCTTGAAGTCCGCTCAGCCAATCAACGTCCTGCTGGAGAGGGCGCCGCGGCCTACGCGGGCCGCCACCGTGGCACACCGCCCTTGGGAGGTCGGCGGGCTTCCGTTAACTGGCGCTGACCCCCTCTGTACCCATCATCCGACGCTATGCGTTTTCCATCGCGTGGCCCTTGAGGTCCCGACGACTCCCCCCGGGGCTAATCTTGCTCAAGGGCTCCCAACTTCGCGCTTGGCGCTGCGCGGAGCGCGAAGTGCAAATAACTTCGCGCTCTCGCGCCTTCTCCCGGGGGCGAAGAGGAAGATGAGGAGGAATCGGAGCCGAGCCGCGAAGCGCGAGCAACTTCGCGCCCTCGATGGCGCCCTTGTTGCTCGACCCGGATCAGTGTCTGATTCGGGAGCGGCCAAAGAGGGGGGCGCCCAAGAGGGGGGGGGTGCAAATCATGACCGGCGGCATGTGCGCGGCCCAGCGGGGGGGCCAGGGACGTAATGAAATGCGAAGAGGCGCCATGAAATCTGGGGAAATGTCATGGCCCACGCCATGATAATGAAATGAGAAGAGGCGACATGAAATCTAGGGAAATGTCGTGGCCCCCGCCATGATATCCACCCCTCCCCTAGTCATTACCCCCCTCTTTTCCGCCCCCGACCGAGAGAACCGGCGTCGAAGCCGAGGCCGGGAGGGAGCGCCGGCTCCGAGGCCCGCGGCCGCCAGGGGATCCAGCGGCGGTCGGGCCACGGCGGGGCGCGCCGGGGCAGATTGCGGCACGAGGGGCCCGGAGATCTGGGGGCCCAAAGCATATGCACCACCGCCACGTCGATGCCTCCTCTCTCGCCTCTTGCCAGCGAGGGGGAGGAGCGAATAATAGGAGGAGGAGGAGGAGGAGGAGGAGGAGGAGGAGGAGGAGGAGGAGGAGGAGGAGCGAATAGGAGGAGGAGGAGGAGGAGGAGGAGGAGGAGGAGGAGGAGGAGGAGGAGGTGGTGGTGTATATCTCTGGGCCCCCCAGGAGAGGCGCCCGCGGAGAGGGGGCCGGACGAGGGCCCAGGAACCTCCAGGCTGCACATCCCTGCTGGCCGCCCACGGCCGCCTTCCGCGCAGCCTCGGGGCGGAAGGTCGGGGCCTGGCCCGCGGATGAGGCCGTCGTGCTGCCAGAAGCTGACTACCTACCAGACCACCCCAACCCAACCCGAAGACCCGAATTTAACCCGAATTTCGGGTTGGGGGGGGTACGGATTCCATGTGTTTTCTCAACGTTCCCCGACCCCCCCCCCACTGGAAATGGAAGGCAAATTGAAGGCTTCGGGTTGGTTTAGGGTGGTTTGGTGGGTGGTGAGAAGCAGCGCACACCAGCGAACGGACGGAGCTCTTCTGGCCACGGCAGGCCTACCCCGAGACGAAGCGGCGCGCTCGAACCTGGGCCAGCACGGGGGCGGAGAGAGCGGGTCCGTGGAGCGGATATTCCACGCGGTCTCGGGGATTCGGCGGCCGTGCACGCGGCAGCGATTTGGACGTAGGGATTGCCGTGCATGCTTGCCGGAGCAAGCTGGGGTGCGAGTCACAGTAGGACGGGCGCCGTGGTGATCGGCGCTGTTATGTCACCGTCCGCTCCGAGGAGCCTTGGCGGTCAGAGTGTTTGACGGCACGGTTCGCTCTGGTGGGGCCTCGTCAGAGGCTCTTGGAGGCATCTCGGAGTGCCTCTGGTAGGCCTACTGGGGGTCTTTTGGGCCGCTTGGGGGCCTTCTGGGGCCCTCTTGGACCGTCTTGGGGGGCCTCGGGCCGGCTTGGGGCGCTCCCGGGGCCCTCTCGCGAGCCTCCTGTGGCCCCCTTGCCGCAACTGCAGAGACGTCGGGGCCCGCCCCCAACGTTTCCGACATCCTCTGGCGGCGCCCCCCCAGGCCCAGCAGCGCTGCCGCAGCGTGGCCGGCGGAGCGCCTCGACCAACTCTTCCATGGTAATTCAACCCGCGCGGAAGGGAGGCGCGCAGCTCCGGGATGCTTCGCGGGAGCCGCGCTTGCCCGCAGGAGTTCCGTCCAGGCGCTGCATCGACGCGTGTTTGACACCTGCGGGCGCTCTGGGATGTCGAACCGCTTCCCAGCCTCCCCGCTGCCGTCGTGAATCATGCCAGCCTTTGCGGTCTTGCGCCCCCGATTCCAGACTTGTGACACCCGCTTGCAACCCGCATCTCTTTTGGGCAACACTTCAGTCGCCTTGGCGAAACTTACGTTCAAACCATCGGTCAGCAACGTCGACCGATTCCGTGCCGCCATCAATTGAGTGGCCACAGCAGGTGCTGGGCGTTGGTGCGTACAGATTGGGGGTTCTGCGGCTCTGAATGCCAAGTTTGATTCTAAAGGGGCGAAGAAGACATGACGCGCGTTCAGCGCACCCGCCGACTCGCTCTGATATCCTCGATGGCGCGCGGAGAGCTGCAATCGCGCCGCGCGTGGTCAAGCTGAGCGAACCGACGTCGTTGCCCGCAGGATTGATGCCGAGATTTCGACGCGAGCTTTTCATGGTGACTAGATGGTCATAATAGGTCATAGCGGCCAGCAGCTCGCAAGACGCGCACAATTCCACCGGGCGGCGCCCGTTTGAAGCAACGTCCGTCGCGGACGCATCCGCGCCATTAGGGCGCGCAAACGCGCGCGGTCTGACAACGTTACCCTCTCCAGCTCAAGCCCGCGAGTCTAGCGTCGAAGCCTCCCATGATGTACGTCGTGCTGCGCACGGTGGTCGCCCGAATCTGCGTTTGTAGGTCTGCGCAGAGAGAACGCGAGAACGCCGCTCCGCGTGCGGGCGGTGGTCGCGCGGGGCATGTGCTGAGGGAACGTTTAACATGCCCGCTTTCACGTTGACCCTCAACGAGGCCCTGGAGGTGCTCGCCATGAAGGACGCAATGCCTTTTTTCAAAATGCGCGGGGCAACTGAGAGTCCTACTCCGGCGTGCGATTGCGTGCCCGAGTCCAGCTCGCCTGACGCATGACAAACGGATCGCGTAACCATCGCGTGCGTAAGATTCGGAAGCGCTCAGCAAATGTTTCTAGCATGCGAAAACAAGTGATCTCTCGTGGCCGCGTGATGCCCGGGAGCTCGTCCACCGTCTACCCTTCCGATCAAATCGCCGCGTGGGCCCTCCTCGCTCCGCGACCCCAATCGGCCAGGGCATCAGGTTTGGCAGGCAGACCTGGGCCACCCCCAAGCGCAACTTGTTGTGCGAGATGGCCCCAGCAACCCTTTTCCATCAGGACTGCCGGAGGGAAGCAGGACAGGTCCAGGGCGCAATGCAGCACGCGGCTCTGGGAAAGGCTAAAAAATCGCCGATCGCAAAGGGACGGTATCCTTGCCCGGGAGCGCAGGGACTGCGACGGCAGCTTTGCTCGCCGAGGTAGGGAACCGTGCGCTGTGAGATCTTCTGGGCCGGCTCTGGGGCCCGGCCGCGTTCCCTGTTGGCTTCTGCCTCTGCCCTCAGCTGGGCTTTTCGCCTCCCACCCCGGAGCTCGCTCCAGTAGCGACGTGTATTGCGCAAGGTGGTCGCAGAGCGCGGGATGTGCTCGATGTTTGTTCCAGGATCCCCCCTCTGCGCTCCAATGCAATGCAAAATGAGACCCCTGCATAGATACGGAAACAGCCAGATTGCCTCCCATGAGTACGTGCTAAGGGAACTCCTTGTTGCACTATGGACCTTGTGCCTGTTATCCAGCTCGGTGTTGAGAACATGTTCCGATCCAAAACACACGTCCGAACAGCGCGATCAGAAAACGTGTTTTTCGTGTCTGGCTAAGACGGTTGCCCGTCCGGGACCGGGACTCGCACGCTGTTATATACCTACCGCAGGATCTCGATCGGCTTCGCTGGCGAATACTGCGAAGAACATGACTCTAAAATCACCCTTTCGAAAAGATGTCAATAGCCGCTGGCGCCGACAACGAAGAAAGTGTGTCGTTGACCTGCAAAGTAGCTGCTGCCTTAAAACGAAAGCCAAACCAAGGGTCCAAGCATTGTCGTAAGACACCATTCTTCCCCCTGCCATGTTCGACTGTTTTGAATGGTGCGTGTCGCCGGTCGCCTTCAACTTCGCTTATACGGCTAAACGAACGTCTGCGAAGGAAACTTCCCTCCCAACTCCCACACGGTGCTCCCGGAACGCAAGTGTGTGCGCACGAGTAGCGCCACCACGAACAGGAGGGCTCGCGGAGCACGCCAGGGGGCGGCGCTGGAGGCGCCGCAACGGGGTCCGGCGCAGATCCAAGAAATCCCCGCAAGGCTCCAACAACTGATGTTCGTGTGCTGGATGTTGTGGTAAAACATAGATATCAAAACCAATCCGCGCACAACCCCCGCACAAGCCCTTGCGCAAACTTGCACAACGCTCGCTCAACCCCTTGACCAACTTGTTCTTTCAACACTGTTTCTTTCCATAACATATACTCGTTTTCTTGTTTGCTCCGAATGGCTGTAGTCAAAATGCGCATCGCGGTGCGGCGACCAACCATCCGCCCCAAAGGACTGCTGCGTGTCCCCGAGCACGCCATCGCTCGGACGTCCATCCCCCGTGCATGTTTCGATCTCGTGCTATTCCCCGTGCGCTGTTCGATCTCGTGCATATTTGTTCGCCAGATGATCCAATCTGTTCATCGATGGTCCTCGCCGAGAACAAAGCGCACACGCCGAGCGATGCCAAACAAGATGGGAGGGGGTCCTGGGGAATGCGGCGCTGGAGCCCTCCAGGGGACCATCGCTTACCCGTTGGGCGGGCCTGGGGCCCCCTGGGAATACGCAGTAGAAGTGCCCCCCAGTACCCTTTCGGGATGGAAGCTACATCCGAAGGGCCGAAGCACATTAGTGACAAGGTTTGTTTTGCAGGTGTGTGGAGCGGAACCACCCATATGCCCCTAGGGGTACCCCATAAGAAGCGAGGACCTGAGTGAGGTCGCTGAATCATTGCGTTGTCAGGGTCAGGGGTTGCCTCGTGCTTGATGACCCGTGAGCCAGAAACAAATAAAAATCTGAGCACCCGTTTCCATCAGGACCCCTTTCTCGGGCGAAGCCAGGATCGAGATAAAATCGGATGGGGATACACCGGGGCTCACTGGAAGCCAGCGAGCCTGGAGGATGTGCATCGGGCACCGCGGCCGCTCCGGATCGAACGCCCTTGAGGACTTCACCCCGACCCTGGGCGTGCCAGATTTCCTCCATGGTGACTTCACGAGCCTCACTGGAGAGCGCTCGACGTCACGGCCGGATCGGCCTGGACCTCCAAGTCGGAACGCTCTCCAGAACAAGCCCAGGGGTCGAATCTGTGGGCACGAGGATAGCATCAGCAACGGCGAGCGGCGCGAGAGAGCGTCCTCCTGGTGGCGTGTTCCCCCTCCCCCTCTCTCGCTCGAGACTCGAGACATCCCCCATCCCCAGCTCGGGGAGGCCTCGTGGACCCCCTCGCTGGAGATGGACCACCTCGTGGTGGTGTCGCCTCTCCTTCCTCCGACCCTGAGGCCCACAACACAATCCTCCCATCGTCGCCCCCCTGAATACAAGCACGACGCGTGGGACTCATCCCCTTCGATGCCAAACCGTCATCACATCCCGGGCCGATCGGAAAATGATCCGCGATCCAAAAACTGGGAACGTGAATCGGGGGCGCGCAAACATAGATTAGCGATCCATAGATAAGGCGCGCGGTCGCCAAATCCATGGCTCGGGGGAGGTGCCCTCCCCAAAATGCGGCCGGTGCCGCCTCGTTCGGCGGCGGGAATCCTCGATTTCCCATGGAGACGGGACCCGTCGCTAATCCACGCCCCCTTGATCCATGTTTGCGATCGCCTGACAATGACCCGCGATCCAAAACCCGGGCACGTGAACGGCATCGAGGTTTGGCTTTGGGAGCTTCGTCGAAAGCCGCCCCCCCAGAGCTCGCCGACCACGGCGACGAACGACGGGGGGCGGCGGCGAGAGCGCGGACGATGGCGGCGACGACGAGAGGGAGACGAACGACGAGAAGCGACGACGGACCACGACGTCCTCCCTCCTCCTCCTCCTCCTCCTCCTCCTCCTCCTCCTCCTCCTCCTCCTCCTCCTCCTTCTCCCTCGCCAACGACAACGGCGACGAGGACAACGGCAACGCACAGAGCAACGAGTCGAAGAACTATCACGAGCAGGAGGAAGACACGAACCACGAAAGAGGGACTTCTGGACGGTTACTACGGCAAACTTCACGAAGCAGGAATGGCTTGATTTTTGGCGACTTCCAGGAGGATCAGAAGGCAGGGAAGGCACCGAGCAGAACGCCCAGCACCTGGAGGCCATCCCACACAACGCCGCGGAGAAGGAATATTACGAGAACAACTTGGAAAGAAAGATAGAGGAAGACTGCAACGAGATCGCCAAAGGCCACAAACGAGTACGCCTACGACGAGCAGCGCCACCAACGGCGTCACCAACGGAGATATGGCGACTACTACTACGCCCACCGTAGGCGAAACACCAACCACGCCAACGACACGGCCTGGGACTTCAAGCAGAAGACGGAGAACACGTAAAAAAAAGTTACCGAAGGCCGCCTTGCTATCAACGAGCGCATCAATTACTACTAGTGCTTCACGAGCCGAAGAACAACGCAAGCTACAACTACACGTCCACCATGAAGGACATGTACAAGGAGTTCGCCAGCTGCAAGTGACTTACGCGGACACGACCAACGGCAACAACACGCAGGATCACTGGGACCACGGAGAACAACGATACCACAGGGCGACGTTCAACATCGAGCGCAGAGACAGCCTGGAAACACCTGGCCAGGAGCTGGGAGAACAAGTGGACGCGGCTTCGCACGACAGCCCCCACACCTACGTATGGACCGACATGGCGAACTACACGGGGCGCATGTCCGACGCAGGAGCGGAGCGCGACTACCTCGAGAAATACTACAAGGACGTCATCGAGTGGCAGGGCAGAGAAGAGAGCAGACAGCATCCCAATCTTCCTCGCACGCAAGAACAAGGGCAAAGGAGGGGGCATCACGGAGAAGTGCAGGCTTCAGTTCCAGGCGAAGTAAATGGACACGCAGCTGGAGACGAGCCGCAAGATCGGGGCGGTGCCGCACGGAGAACGAGAACTGGGACGTCTGCCAGAACGACACGGAGAGAGGAGCAGCACAATATGATGTGCGTGAGCGGACGGCGCGGCTCTGTCCTGCCCCAGCGAGCGCGGCCCATCAGGCCACCCCGTTTTTACGCACCAGCGCACGATTCCATGAGCTGGTCAGGGAAGGACGCCCTCCTCCTCCGCCTCCGTCCGAGACCTCCTCCCACTCCGAGGCCCGAGCTTCCCTGACTAATTTGTCTTGCACCGACCTCCCCGCCCCCACCCGAAGGGCTGAGAAGACGGGGCAGTAGAGGAACCAGCGAGAGGGCACCCGATAGCGGGTGCTACCCTGCCCGCAGACCCCTGCGCGGGGGAGGACGGTGCAAGTAGGGCCCGAGCGTCTCAGTGACGCCCGCGACCCCCTTTCAGAAAAGCGACCTCAGCTAGGCCACACAACTTTATTAAGCAGCACAGCGCGCAGCGATAGTGCAGCACCGAACCGGCCCGAGAGCTCGATCGATCGATCCTCCTCCTCCTCTGCCTCGTCCTCCTCCTCTGCCTCCTCCTCCTCCTCCTCAGCCTCCTCCTCCTCCTCCTCCTCCGCCTCCTCCTCTGCCTCCCCCTCCTCCTCCTCCTCCTCCTCCTCCTCCTCCTCCTCCTCCTCCTCCTCTGCCTCCTCCTCCCCCTGATCCTCCTCCAGATCCTCCTCCTCTGCATCCTCCTCCTCCTCCTCCTCCTCCTCCTCCTCCTCTTCCTCCTTGCCCTACTCGTATTCCTCCTGCTCCTTCTCTTCTTCTCCGAAGACGACGGCGAACGCAGGGAAAAAAGACGACGACGACGACAACGAACGATGCCGACGAGGGCGACGAACAAAGAAGGACGAACGATGGCGACTGACGAGAGCGCGAGGGCCACGGTCCATGCCGACCATCGCGGCCTGGCGCATGGACGGCCCCGCCGCGCCGCAGCCGCGGCCCTCCGCGAGGTGCTCCACGCCGTGGCCGCAGAGCAGCGCGAGGTGCATCACGCGCGCGAAGAGCGGCGAGTCGAGCGTCAGCATGCACCTCCCAGGGCGGGATAAACGAGGTCTCGCACACTGTGCATGCTTCTTCTTCGATATTTTGTGGCGAACATTTCTGCCCCCGTTTCTTCCCAGCTCTCATCGCTCGCCTGGAGGCTTTCGGGTGTCTTCACCGGCTCCCAGAAACTGCTCGCGTGTCGTACCCCCCTGTCGAGCCCCGTGGCCGTCAAAAAAGAAACGACCCGAGATGGAACGTGGGGCCAGGGAAATGGTAAGGTTTCGGCATGCACACAGGAGCGCCCCCAGGCAGTCTAAGCTGGCCTCAACACCCCCGAGTATAGAGGCCTCCTAGCTGGGGTCAGAGGAGCTCGCCGCATCGCCCATACATCGCCGATGCATCGGCGACGTGGGCGTGGAGAAAATTGGGCCCCATCTCTAGCCGCATCGCCGATGCATCGCCGATGCATCGGCGATGCGGCGCGTTCCTCCGCCCCCAGCGACTCCGAACCCATCTGCGGGGGCCCAGAGAGAGCAGTCCCCGCTGGCCTCAACAGGCCCCCCCGAAGTGGTCCAGGGCGGTCGCAACACCTCGACTGAAAACCAGGGCGCTCGACGCTCCAGAGGGACGCCGACGGGGGCGGCGCGGAGGTGTGGAGGCCGCCACGGACCACTCGGGGGGGCCTCTTGAGGCCAGCAGGGTGCCACAGCGGGGGGCGGGTGAGACCAGCAGGGACTCCCTGGGGGGGGGGCCGTCTGTGCGCAGCCCCAAGCCTTCCCAAAACAACCCGAGGTGAAGAGTCGGCAGAAGGAAACCGAGACCTCTGGCGGCAGACTACGATATGTCGGGAATCTGCGTCACCACGCTGCAGGAAGCTCTCTCGGAAGCTCTCTGGGAAGCATTCCAAAATATGCACCAAGGCCCTCTCGAGAGGTTAGGGGCTTCTGAATGCTCTCGGATGCTTCGGTGCTCGGGATACCCCAAAAACATGTAAACTTTATTGTGGAGGTCCGCGCGGATTTCTCGGCTCGGCACTGGAAACTCCTGGCGGCGCCTCCAGCGCCACCCCAAGCGCGCTCCGCGCGCCAAGGAGGGGGGTCCAGCGCCGATCCAAGGAATCAGCAGGGACCTCCGAAAATTACTATATATGAAATTTGTTCATCGCCTCACGGAGGCTTTCCGCACCAATCGCACTCTGGTCGCCCCATCCAACCTCCATTCACATTCTCCTCCTGTTTCCAGACGCTCCCGTGGACTTCCAAGGATTCTCGGAGGCTTACGGCACCTCCAATCACATCCTTACCGTCCTCGTCGTGGCCATCCTGTACCCAACTTGAGCCTCCCCTCCTCCTCTTCCTGGTGCTGCTGCCGATCCTCCTCTTGCTTCATTCTAACCCGACGAATCGTCTGTGTTGCCTGTGCAAACCCTCGTCGTTGTTTCGGCCGCCTCGCCTCCACAAAGTATCCATCCCCCTCCTGTTCACCCTCTTCCTCCTTGTGGTTCTTCCTCCTCATCATCCTATTCCATCTGCACTGCTCCCTCTTCGTCATCCTTCACCTCCTCCTTCGCCTCCTCCTTCGCCTCCCTATTTCACCCATCTTCCACTCTCTCTCCTGCCCTAGCCCCATGGCACACCCGCTCCTCCTGTCCCCCCTTCGTTGTCGTATCTGCCGCCTTCCTCCTCCTCCTCCTGCTCCTCCCCCTCCCCCTCCTCCTCCTCCTCCTCCTCCTCCTCCTCCTCCTCCTCCTCCTCCTCCTCCTCCTCCTCCTCCCCCTGCTCCTCTTCCACTTCCTCTCGAGCAGCCCAAACAAGCATAAACATACACTTTCGGGAGTCGGCACTAATCTCTAGGATCAGCGCTTGACCACCCTCCCTGGCGCGCGGAGCGCGCGAGGGGCTGCGGCGGAGGCGCTGCCAGGGGGGTCCAGCGGCAAGCCAAGATATCTGCACGACATACGAAACTGCATATTTATGTGTTGTCTTGGTTTCTCGATCCTCCTCCTCCTCCTCCTCCTCCTCCTCGCACTCCTCCTCGCACTCCTCGCTCTCATCGCCGTAGCCGCCGCCCCCGAAACCGCCGCTCTCGTTGCCGCCGTAACCGTCGTCGCTGTCGTCTTTTGGCCGGCGGCAAGGCGCCGGAACGCGTATGCCGTGGCGTTCCCCGCCGCGGTCCAGGCGGCCACCTGCCCGGCGAGGCGCCGCGCGCGGGCGGGGGGGGGAGGGGGGGCGCGAGGGGCAGGAGCAAGGGATAAACTGCACCACCACCAGAAACCACCAGCGGGAGGAGCCAGGGGGGCCCGCCCTGGTGGTCTGGACCCCCCCACCACTTTCGCTTGAGGAAACCCTTTGTCTCCGCTCGGGGGGGAGACGTGCGAACGCTCCTTCGCCCGAGCTTGGTCAGCTGTGTGTCGCTGCTGTCGCTATGGATGGGCAGAAGGGGCAAGGATGCAAGGCAAGCCTTGAAAAGTTGCTCATCCGTCTGCGGGTAGACTGTAGGAGGCTATCTCAAAAAGCGGTGGGTCGGGGATTTTCTGACCCGGGTCAATCCAGACCTGGGTCAGTCAGGCCTTGCAGAATCCTGCACGATCCTGCACGACCCTGCATCCAATCCCAGGTCAATGCGAAGGATCCCGCAAGATCCTCCAGGATCCTGCGCCCAAGCCCGGGTCAGTGCGACCCTGGCCCTGCAGGATCCTGCAAGATCGGGCGCTCTGGCTGACCCCCGTTTGCATTGACCCCCGTCTCTTGAGCCCCGGATGGGACTTCTTAGGAACCCTCCGGCCTTCTGATGAACTGTCTGCGTCTTCTCGGGGGCGGCAAAGAGGGGGGCGTCCATTTGGACGCCCGAAATGGGCCCCAAAGAATGGGTACGATGCCCAACAACAAATGCTGTCCCAAACCGACAGCGGCCGCTGTTGGGCAGGTGGCCTTCTGTCTCGAAAAGACACAAGCCGCGGCGGCGTGGACAGCGAATCCTGTTCAAAATGAACAGGAACTGCTGTTGGGCATTGTACCCATTCTTTCCGTGCCCATTTCTGGCGTCCAGAATCTAAGAGGAGGGGGGGCGCAATGCATGGTCGGCGGCATGTGCGCGGCCCGAGGGGGGGCCAGGGACGTGATGAAATGAGAAGAGGCGCCGTGAAACCTGGGGAAGCACCCTGGCCCACGCCATGATATCCACCCCCCCGAGCCATAACCCCCCTCTTTGCCGCTCCCGATCTTCGGGGATGGTTCAGACCTCAATGGACCCTGGAAACGACAATGCCGTTTTTTACAGGTTCCGTTGTGCCGTTTTTTTGCCGGTTCCGACGCCGTTTGTTTACCGGTTCCGTCGCCGTTGTTTTACCGGATCCGGCTCCGGTTCCAATCCTGGTGCCGTTGTTTTGCCGTTTCCGGTCGCCGTTTTTGTTGCCGTTTCCGTTTTCAAGGGGCACTTCTTGGAAACGGTAAAAAAACGGCCCTGCCGTTTCCGGGGCCCACTAGAATCAGGGGGACGTAAGACCTGGGTACAGGGGACTCGGAAATCCCCGACGAGGTCGTCAACAAAAATGACGAGGCCGAGCCTGCATTTTGACGAGGCCTCCAGCTGCAGACATCCCACGGAACTCCTCAGAGAGTCCCGAGCCTTCTGAGAGGACCCGCCCCCTCGCACTGCCACCCCGGGCCGGCCGCCGAGGGGGGGCGCCCAAACTGCTCCGGCCGCGGCGCCGCGGGTCCCCGCCGCGGCCGAAGGCAACCAGCGGCGGTGGACAAACCTCCCTTTAGTAAACCTCCCCGTAGTGAAAACGGCCTGGGGCCGAAACCAACGGACCTGGACCTGCAAAAATGACGGCCGCGACGCCCCCTCTCGCGAACCGAAAACGGCCAATTCCTGAATCGACGTGTCAGGGTAGGAGGTCCATCCACCTCCGAAACCGAGGGACCCTGCGGGGCCCACTTGGGCACGGCAGGACGGTAGCAAGCGCGGGCGTGGGAGGGGAGAGCGACCAGTGCGCACCGTACGCCGCCGACCCTGGCCAGGCTCCCCCTGGGCCGAAGATCGGCGCATGCGGCCTCCCAGCCCGGGCTAGAGCGTACACGCTGGGGAAACCAGAAAGACACCGATACCGCTACTCCCCGGACCTCTCGTGCGGACCGGGGAGTGCCGAAACGGCTCCAGCGGTGGCGGCGAGGGTCTCCCAGGAGGCCCAGCAGGGCGGAAGCGAGCGACGGGCAGGCGGCATCGGTACCTTCCCTCCCTCCGAGAGATCAGCACCCCCCCTCCGCTTGCTCCGCCTCCCCCGGCCTGTGGATCCCCTGCCTCCTCCGCTCCCCCAGTCCTCCGGTCTCCTGCTCGCCCTGCGCCGGTGAGAGCCCGCGAGGACGTACGCGCCCAACCGTTCACAGGAGCACGGACCTCCCGTCCGCGAGACCGCCCGCGTGATACGAACGTCCGCGCAAGGCGTACTCTCGAAACCCACGCGGGTTCATGTACGTGTGCGTTTTCCTGTCGCTCCTGATCCTGGGATATGTGTATATATATATACATATATATATATATATATATATGTGTATGGGGATATGGCGTCGATACCCCGTATGTAACCCTCTAAAAAGGGATACGTCGACTCTAACCCAGGTTTTGGGAGGTTCTCGACTTCACCAAGGATGTGGGGCCCAACCCTGGGATATACGATAGGCCATCCTCGATAAACGAGCGCCCAAATAGCTCCCATGGGGGTCCCTCCCATGTCTACCCCCCTTTTCTGAGCGGCTTCATTTGTCGTCGACAAGTCGGGGTTTTGGGGGGAAACGTCGCCTGCGTTGAACAGGGACCGACCGTCCCGGCATTCCTATAGTCCTACCACGAAATGTTCTTAGAACCCCCTATACGTTCTCAGAACAAAAATCCTGATCTTAGAACGTGAACCCGATGCGTTAAACCAAGACAGTCCCAGCCAGAAATGTTTTAAGAACATGTCGCTGAAATCGCCACTGCTTGACCTGCGACCATCCACCCTTTCCCCCCCCCTGCGCGCCGACACCTTGGGCCCAGGGTCGGCCTGGTCGGGGATCTTCTGACCCGGGTCAGTCCAGACCCGGGTCAGCAGGACACCAAAAACTGCAAAGCGGGAAACAAACCAAAACTGCAACGCAGGTCTTCGCAAACCCGGGTCAGCCAATGGGCGCGGCCGCCCCGCGGCCACGAGCGGCTCGCTAACCCGGGTCAGCCAGAGGGGGTCTCCGCAGGATCCTGCAAGATCTGGCGCTCTGGCTGACCCCCGTTTGCATTGACCCCCGTCTCAAGGCTCCCGACCTGGCCAGGGCCTGTGTGCTCCGGTGCGCAGCCAGTGCCCTCCGAATCCCTGCGCCCAGGGCCCCCGGCGCCACGGTCCGGCGCCCCGCTCGCCCCGGCTTCGGGGCCGAAGGGGGGAGCTGCCCCTGTACGTCTTCCTCTCCCTTCTGTGCCTCTCTTTTGCTGTTTTGTTTGCTTATCCCTCCCTCCCTCTCTTTCTTGCTTGTTATGTTTTTTGTTGTTCCCTCTCTCTCTTTTCTTTTTGTTCTCTCTCTCTCTCTCTCGCTCTCTCCCTCGCTCTGCGCACCGTTCGAGCCGCCGCGCGCCGTTCGACCGACGCGGGGCGAGCCGAGGATCGCGGCAGGGTGCCGGGCGCATCTCGCGCCCGCCCCGCTCAAGGCCCCGCTCAAGGCTTCCGCGCGGCCCCACCGCGGCAAGAGGCCCCGACGACGCCAAGGGAAGAGCCCGTGGCCCCACCGCGTGGACGCCGTGAGCAGCCAGACTGCCGAGGTCGAGCGGCTCCAGAGGGCCAGCCCCCCCCTCCTCCTCCTCCTCCTCCTCCTCCTCCTCCTCCTCCACCTCCTCCTCCTCCTCCTCCTCCTCCCCCACCTCCTCCTCCTCCTCTTCCTCCTCATCCCTCCTCCCTCCTCCTCCTCCTCCTCCTCCTCCTCCTCCTCCTCCTCCTCCTCCTCTCCTCCTCCTCCCCTCCTCCCCCTCCTCCTCCTCCTCCCCCTCCTTTTCTTCCTCCTCCTCCTCCTCCTCCTCCTTCTCCTCCGCCTCCCCCTCCTCCGGGGGTCAACACCCCCCCTGGCCACACCGCCAACCCCACCAGCCCTTTAGGGCGTCGGTGGTCTAGAGAACACCCTCTTCCAACCCCCATTCTTTCCCTCCGGGGAGGGGTTCACCCCTCCCCATTACCCCTCCCCACTGACCTGGACGGGGCGTTTCGCGACGCGTTGGGACGTCCAAAATGGCCCAAGATGGCTCCAAGAGCGCCCCAAGAGTCCAAGATGACCTCCAAGATGCCTCAAGATACCCGAAGATGCCTCAAGATGGCTCCGATGATGCTCCAATAAACCCCAAGACCGCCCGAAGACCGCCCCAAGTGGCCAAACAGGTCCCCAAGGAGCCCCCCAAGAGGCCAAAATCATGCCAAAACCTAAGGACAATCAATGTTGTTGGTTTTCCCGCTTTTCGGTTTCGGGCCATTCGAGGCCTCAACACAGCTCCAAGATGGCCCAAGAGGGCCCCAGGAAAGGCCCAAGAGAACCCCAAAACGGCCTCAAGAGCGCCCATGAGCGCTCCGAGGTCGCCTCACGAGGGGCCCAAGAGGCGATTCGAGGCACTCTAGAGGGGGCGACGCTACTTAAGAACCCCCCCTTCTTTCATAGATCTCCTCCAAGATGGCCCCCCATAGCGCCCCGAGAGCTCCCAAGAGCGCCCCAAGAGTGTCCCAAGAGGGCCCCAAGAGGCCCCAAGAGGCGCCCACGAGGCCCCCAACACGCTCAAGAGACCCCCGAGAGGCCAAAATCCGTCCCAAACGCATGGAAATCAATGTGTTTGGCAGTCTCGCCTTTTCGCTTCCGATGGCCATCCGAGGCCTCAAGATGGCCCCGAGATGGCCCCAGAGGCCCAAAGAGAGGCCCAAGAGGGCCCTAAGACGGCCCCAAAGGCGCCCATGAACACCTCAAGAGGGCTCAAGAGGATATTCGAGGCACTCTAGAGGGGCAGTGCTAATGAAAGCTCCCCCCTTCTTTGATAGATCTCCTCCAAGATGGCCTCTCAAGAGCCCCCGGAAAGCTCCCAAAAACACCTCAAGAGCGCCCCAATATGGCCCCAAGAGGCCCGCCCTTTGTTCTTCTCCATGCTCCCCCGCTTCCCTCATCACCCCCACTCCCCTGGGACTCATTTCTGGACGGGCTGGTGGAGATACGCGAAACGTCTAGAATTCACCATGATCAGCCATAAAAAAGGGCCCAAGGACACACAAACAAATTCACACAAGTCCCAGGATTCTCCATATTTTCATGTTTTCTGGATGTTCGTTCTTCCCCCACTTCCCATGTGTCGTTTTTGTTCTGGGGATCGACAATCAAATCTGTCTGTGTGTTTGTCCCGTTTTTTCTACGACAAACCCTCAGCTCGGGACGCGCACGATTGGTAACTGCGGAGCGCGGCACGGCACGCTGAAAATGTAGTGACACGAGCTGTGGCCAGAACTGATAGCTTCGACTGCCGCGGATTGGAGTTTTCTCTGGAACTGTTTCGCAGAGGGACAATCGACAAAATGTTGCGGAAGATGATGGAAAAGACACACCACACCGAAAATGGACCTGCACATCATTGGATGCAGGCGGGGACCAGTTGCATCACGCACCGCCCTGTTGTGTATGCGCCTTCCTCCGCCAAAGCCGTGGCTTACGTGGTTGCCCGTCATAGGAGGGAAAACTGCACGGAACAAGTTTGTGCAACAAACCTAAGATAGACAAGTACCGTCTCATACATGCCGGGAGAGGCTGGAATCGCAAAGGGCCTTTTCTTCGGAGACCCCGAGCGCCTGCAAAAACTCACCCTCCAAGTCGCCTAACGGAGCTAACGCAGTATCAGTTGCATGAAAGATTGCAGGGGCTGCGCCGTCCACGAAAGAGACCACATGGCATTCGAACGGCCTGAAGGGCTTAACTGTGCTGTAGAACTTGCTAGACCGAAGCAGCGCACGGAACCGCAAAGAGGCTTCGCGAGCAAACTCTTGCACGGCACGATACATGGTCAACCTGTGGTCGAAGAGTACGCTTCGGATCTTGAAATCGTCCCCGTGGGGCCGGCACTTGTCGAGATTGTGCACGCTCTCGTCGGTCGTCGGTCGCCTCGAAAATCAGCAGGTTGGCCGCGCCCCAATCGTGAAGCGAAGACTGGCACTGGCGGCACGCAACAAGGATAGAAGAATGTGTGGCCACACCGTCGAACTCTGTTCCAGAGATTGAGGTCGTCAGCGAAAACGCACTCCGTGAAATCGGCCGCATGCACAGCAAGTTCGGCATCACCATAAAACGCATTCCACAACGGCGGCCCCAGGACCGCGCCTTGGAACACCATGTCTTGAAGCGACAAAGTCTTGGAGAGGAGTCCGTCCACGCTGTCATGCGCCTGTCTCCCCGAACGCCAAGACCGAATGACGTCCAGAAGGGGCGCGCACACCCCCGACGCACGTAATTTAGACACGAGGCGGTCGGAAATGACCCTGTCGAATGCTCCGGCCATGTCCGATCAAAACACCCCCACGCGCCGACCATTGCAGACAACACGAATCCAACTACACACCATGTCTGCCAAAGCGTCGCTGTATCCCCGGTTCGTATGATAAGCAAATTGGTGGCCCCCGTATGCTCCACTGGTCTCGAGGAAAGGAAGCAGCACGCTAGCAAAGAAACGCTCGACGACTTTGCTGAGTTGGGATGTGAGGTGAATTCCACCGTACTCCATGGATTCGAACGCGCGTATCTCTTGAACAGCGGGTACATCCAATGAAGCTTCCATGATTCGGGCCACTCGCCGCTATCCAAAACCAAGCGTGCAAGGATGGCAATGGGAGTAACTAGCTGCGAAGCGTATTGCTTCAGAATCCGACATGCTAGCCCATCGGGGCCAGTGCCGCTGTCTTCCCGCAGCCTGCACAAGATACGCGAAACCGCACGGGAACGTATCGGTATGAAACTGGTAACCGAGAGCGTGCCGCTCACATGTGTGGAAGAGAACGTTGTGTCGGCCTAAGGCGGAAGACCAAACTTATCACAGAAAGTATATGCGAACATATTGGCCTTACCAAGAGCAGACAAGGCCCACGATCCACTCTTCGACTGCAGCGGGGGTATACCAACTGACCCCTTGCCAGCACGAAGAAGCAACGAATCACATAATGACCACCATTTCTTGCACGATGGCCGCAAGTCCAACATGCGCTTCCGAATTCGCTGACCGTACTTGTCGCAATTTCGGCGGAGGCCTGCATAGTACTCGTCCCGTCGACATTCTAAATTCGGTGTCCCATATGCTCACCTTCTCTCCTGATAAGCTCCACGCACGCCTAGTTGATCCACGGGTGGGTGGACTTCCGGGGATCGACGATCAAATCTGTCCGTGTGTTTGTCCCCTTTCCTGACGCCCGTCGATCACCAACTAGCAGCAGCCACCAGTCTACTGAACGCGGCCGTCCAAAGACGTGCTGAGGCAGTGCCTGTTCTTCCGCCCAACCGTGGATGCCCCCGGGGGCGGGAGCGGTCCAGGGCAGGCCGCCTGAGCCTTGTGGCCTTTGTGTGGCCCTCCTGCTCTGCCAGCAGCCCCACGCCAGTTGCAGATGAGGCCGGGCCCGGCCGACTGCAACTGGACTGGGGGCCCATCTCTGGCGCCAGGCGCAGCCCTTCACACCGCTCGCGCGCTCCCCTTTTCCGCCTCCTTGGCCAGCCACGCCCCGAGGGGCTGCGGAACCCTCGTCTACCACCCGGAGCACCCTTTGGCCACCCGCAGGGTTGCCCGCAGCCGCCTCTTCCGTCTGCGAGCACGCCGTGCTGCACACCGCCGCCGCTGCCGCCACTGCCGGCGCTGCAGGGAGGCAGGCCCGACCCAGGAGAGGTCTTCCTCTTCCTCTTCCTCTCTTTCTCTCACTCTGTTTCTCCCTCTATGTTGCCTCGACGCCGCGCCGAGGACGCAAGGCAAACTGAACTGAGAGGGGAAGGCGAAGGGGATGGGGGTGGGAGGAGGGATGAGGGGGGAGGGGGGCGGGGCAGGTGGGGGGGGGGATGAGGGAAGGGGGGGAGGGGGCAGGGGGGAGGGAAGGGGGAGGGGGGGGGGTGATGAGGGGGGGGTGGGGGGGGAAGGTGAGGGGGGGGAGGAGGGAGGAGAGGGGGGAGGGACAAGAGAACCACGGGAACGCATCGGTCTGACAAATCGCCCAGTCCACGTGGCATGATGTGGGCTACCTCCACGAGGGCGGCACGGCGCGTGGCGAAGGACAGATTGAGGAAGACGTCCTGGAACGCAGCAGCTCTGTGAACGGATGCCGCTTCCAAAACTATTCCTCAGCAGCCGCCTTCGTCAGTTACAGCCGTGGTGGCCCGAACCGATTCTCCAATTCGTAACCATCAAACGCGTTTTTCTTCACGGATGCTTGCCGGACCGGGTCAAGCGGCGCTGCGGTCAGGAAGTTGCGATGCGGCTAGAATTTGTGTTTGTGATGCATGTGGCTGGAAAGGCAAAACATGTTTGTTTGTTCCCGCGGCCTGGACACTCTGGTCCGGTCGTCCGAATACGACGGCATTCGTCAGCCCAGTCCACATATGTCGTTGTCATGCGTATTGCGAAACCCTGTTCAACCACACTGCGGCTCGTCTGGCAGTGGCCTGCGGGAGCTGGGCGGTGACCAGTCCGCGCAAGAGCTTCGATCGAACTGCTGCGCACATGGGGCGGACATTGCGCCGAGTGGGACCGCCACTGTGCAACAAGAGTTTGCTGAGCTTGTTTTTTTCTCAACGTGGCGAATGCATGTGAAATGCGAACAATGGTTTCGATGGTGGCGTCGCTCGCGTCATGAAATGCGCGTCCCCGGCACTTGACCTCATTTACCTTCAACGGAACCCCCGCTGGCGAAGCGGATGTTTGGGCTGGGGTAGCCATGTTTGGAACACTTCGTACTCGATGCTGTTGAACTGGAGGCGATCGTTGGCATTTTGGGGGGGAACGCGCCAATGGCACGGTCCGCACGCGGCCCCCACAGCCTCATCCCATTTCAGTATGTCCCTCGCGCTCCGTGGCCCCATGGGGATATCCACAGAGGGCCTTACTCACAGCGACGGTACTCACAACTTCAGATGGTTTGGTCGTTCCTCCGTGATGATACTTGTTGTTTTTGTTCGGCCAACGCTAGCTTGGGAGAGGAAGGAAGAAAACATGAGAGGGCCCGACAACGGCGCCCAGAGAAAGTAAAAGACAAAACATCGGCCTAAAATCAGAAGAAAGAACCTCGCCCCCCCTTCCTGCTCACTGGAACCAGTGCTGGGCCACCTCGGACCCCCGGTGGACTCCAACCCTGACTGTCGCATCGCAATCAGAGGTGGCCCTCGTGGTTGGGGCCGGTCCTTTCTGGCTGCGGTCGGTCCTGCTCCCCTCCCCTCCCCCCGCAACCCCGAGGACGGCCGACACGTCCGCCGGGCCTGCGCGACGCCGTCGCCGCTGTCCGCGTACGGCTCGAGCAGCGCGGCGCAAACCTGCGTGGGGGCCCACGGGGTGTAGGGACAGTCGTGGGCGAACAACACAGACATATCCGCGGCCTCGCGGGCTGGGCCCATGGGCCGCGACCCCGCGGATACGGGACGTTTCTGTCGCGGATGCCCCGCGCGGCACGTATCCGTGCGACCGCGTATCCACGGGACCGCGCCGCGGAATCCACACCGCGAGGGCGAGGATATGGATAAGTTAGCCGCTCATGAAATACTCTGCCCTATGGTTTTCGGGCCGTACCTCGGCTCTCCGGCGGACGTTCGGGACGATCCCGGCACCCCTGGAACGCTCTCGGCGAAGCGCAGCTGCTGGAGAAAGCCGGCTGGGACCGACGAATCAAACCTCGAACCTCAAAGCGTCCGAAACGAGGGCGAGGATGTATAGGCTCAAGGGAGAGGCCAGAAATCGCTAGACGATGATTTGGCGTATCCGCCGGAGGCGCCGTGGCGCCCCGCCCGAACCCACCGCCCCTGAGGCGACGAAAGGTGTCGCCAGCCATCCGGGGGCGTATTCTCGAAGTGGGCACCTCGTCTTTGTACTGACGCCCTCATCCCTATCTGAGCGCCGCACTCCCCCTGCGTATCCATCCATATCCTCACCGCGAGGATACGCTCGCCGCTCGTGGCTCCACGCTGGCGTTTTTCCTCCGCTGCGGCCCTCTGTGGCCGCCCTCGTGCGAGGGCTGCCCCTGTCAGGAGTGTCGAGGCTTTCCGGGCGCACATTGAAACCGTCGCAGCGCCAAACGCCTGGAAATGAACCCCAGCGCGAAGGAAGCGAGTCACTATCACTTCGCCCAAAAAAATCCTCGCTCGAAATGACAGTACAGACATTCATACATACAGACGTACGTACGTACGTGCGTATATACATGCATGCATGCATGCATAACTACATCCATACATCCATGCCTCCCAATAAACATACATACCTTATAAACTAGCTCGGTCCCTCCCTTCCTCCTACCTACCTGCTTACTTACATGAATGCATCCATGCATACTTACATACAGTCAATCATACGTGCATGCATTACTGCATGCAGACATGCATACATGCATCCATCCCTACATCCCGACTGACCTACGGTATTACATATATACATCCATGCATGCAGGCTTGCATCTATCCATACATACATGCACATGCACATGCATGCACACATACCTACATGCACATGCACATGCATGCACCCCTCCATACATGCATGCACATATACTCATACACACGCATCCATCCATCCATCCATCCATCCATACATGCATGCATGCATGCATACATGCATGCATGCGTACATACATGCATGCGGACATGCATACATACATACATACATACATACATACATACATACATACATACACACATACATACATGCATGCATGCATGCATGCATGCATGCATGCATACATACATACATACATACATACATACATACACACACATACACATACAGACATACAGACATGCATACGTACGTACATACATACATACATACATACACACATACATACATACATACATGCATGTAGTCATACAATCATGTACATACCTACACACAAAATAAAGCGCATTTGCGCACATGATTACACACATACACACGTACAGACACATATATGTATCGACATGTAGGGAGAAGGAGAGATGGCATGAGTACTGGAGTACAGCGGAGGCCATTCCACAAGAAACCTTCCACCAGACACCCATTCCTGAGGCCCCAGGGCGTCCATCGATTTTTGGCGTGGGAGCGTCGCGCCTTCCATAGCAGAATCATCGAAACCCAAGAAGCCCAGGGCACCCTGGAGGCAAGCCGGGTGTTTCTTGCCATGGGTCTAGACACCTGAAGTGGGACGGCGTTGGAAGCAGATGGTGCTCCCACCCGCCTTCGGAAGAGGGGGGGGAGGGTCAACCGCGCGACCTGTGGAGTAGGAAGGCGCTTAGCGTAGGCTGGGATCTGGGAGTCCCCAGAGACGCCCACTTTCAACGACTGGTGGGTACTGTTCGGCGGCGAGCCCAGGGGGGAAGTGAGAAGGGGCGGGCCTCTTCAGGAGGCGCGGGAGTCCCCTGGCATCCCGAGAAGTCTCCGGAGCCTTCCCCGGAGACGCGGAACACTTCTCAGAAGGCGCGAGGGCTTCTGAGGAGTCCCGCCGCATGCTGAGAAGGCCGCCTCCTCCTCGAGGTCATTCTCCCCCCTCGCTCGCCGCCGAGTCGTTCGTTCACGACGGGCGGGGGTCTGCCTCTCGGGGGGGTCCCCGGGGCCGCTGACGGCCGTTCGCAGCAATTTTCTGGGCACGCCGGCAGCAGGACGCCTGGAGGACTCGAGGGCCGTCGATCTGGAGCCTCGGCCTCGGAGGGGGCCCTTGGTCTGGGGGGGGGTCGGCGGCGAACGAGAACAACGATGTTCAAAAGGAGCGTTTGGAACGAAACTGGTGCCAAGCGAAAGCGAAGGCGAAACGAACCACGACGGAAGAACGGCGACAAAAACGCGACGGAAAACAAAACACGGACCCGCACCAAGCTGCACCACGTGGTGCTCGGTCCCTGGGAGGTCGGCTGCGCTCCTATTCCCCCGGGGTGCACGGGTGCACCCACGAGTCCGCAGGTCCTTTTTTTCTGGAGTCCACAGGTCCTGTCTAGAGAACCTTGCCACGCCGCGGCGCGGCAGAAGCGATCTCCGCACGCGCGTCCGAGCGAGACGGGGGCGCGGAATCGCAGATCCCTCGCACGCAGGCGGGGGCGGAGGGCGAGGGAGGAGGCGGCTGCGCGAGGGGGGGACCCGGCGCGGGGGACACTCACGCAGCAGGGCTGCGGCGAGCGGGCGGGGGCGGCCGGCCTGAAGGACGGCCCCGACCCTTCTAGATGCAGAGGGAGACTCAAAGCAGAGCGAGCCGAGGGGCGCCCGGGGCCAAGGGAGCGCCCAAGGGGAGGAAGCAAGGCCGACAGGAGGGAGAGCAAGAGGGACAGGAAGATAGGCGCCACCCGGAACCTCCCCCCCCCGTGCCTCTCCTCCTCCTCCTCCTCCCTCCCTCCCTCCCTCCCTCCCTCCCTCCCTCCCTCCTCCCTCCTCCCTCTCCTCCTCCTCCTCCTCCTCCTCCTCCTCCTCCTCCTCCTCCTCCTCCTCCTCCTCCTCCTCCTCCTCCTCCTCCTCCTCCTCCTCCTCCTCCTCCTCCTCCTCCTCCTCCTCACCCGCGCCTCCTCCGCCTCCTCCTCCTACTCCTGCCCAGCTCCTCCTCGTACGACGGCGGCGACAATGCCGACGGGCGGCGACAACGCCGACGGCGGCGGCGCGAAGGCCTGCGTGCAAGCCACTGGCGGCAGGGGCCCCCGCAGCGCCAGGCGCAGCCAGCGCAGCGCCAGCGCGGCCAGGCGCCAGTAGCGCGCGGCGCTGGAGAACTGCGATGGGCTGGCCAGCACCTGCGGCTTTAGAGACCCAGACCTCAATGGGCCTTGGAAACGACAAGGCCGTTTGTTTCCTGGTTCCGTGTTGCCGTTTTGTTGCTGGTTGCCGTGTTTCCTGGTTCTGTGTTGCCGTTTTGTTGCCGGTCCCGACGCCGTTTTTGCTGCTGGTTGCGTCGCCTTTCTTTGTGTTCCGGTTCCATTCGCGGAGTCGCTCTTTTGTCGTTTCCGGCCGCCGCTACTTTGCCTCTTCCATTTTCAACATGCACTTTGTCGGAGGCGTTGACGAAACGGCCCTGCCGTTTCCAGGGCCCACTAAGGCCCAGACCACGATGGGACGGATTCAGGACCCTCCCCCCACCTCCACGCCCTCCTCCTCCTGCTCCTCCTCCTCCGCCTCCTCTCTTCCTTGTCCTCATCCTCCCCCTCCTCCTCCGTCTCCTCCTGAGGCCCAGGCCCCCGATGGAACAGGCTTCAGACAACCTCAACACCCTCCAGAATGGTCCGAATCCGCAGTAGGCTCCCGACAGATCCAGACAGGCGCCCTGGGACGCCAACTCCCGACAGATCCAGACAAGCGCCCTGGGAAACCAACCTTCCCAATGAGACACGTTGCGGCCGTCAGGGACCCTGGGAGACTCAGCCGTCACAAGTTTCGGTCCTCCCTCCACTGAGTAAACGAGCGATGACATATTATGGTGCTCTGGGATCGGGGAAGAGTGATGTTGAATGTCTCGTCTGTCGCATGTCTCGAAAGGAAAAAGTCCTTGAGAAAGACGGCGTTCACATGTGAACCAATGATCAATGTAGAAGGTATGGGTGTCACACGTCAACGGTCCTCTGGAGCCTCAAGGAGGACTATGACACAGTACAACCTTCTGCGCGGTTCTCGAAGACTCGTCTCACAGACTGCTCCCCTGGCATGGTGACGGCACCAGCCGCACAGCCTGAGGAATACCGCGATGCTGGGAAACTAGCGGGAGGATGAGGGATATGGGGGATCGGGGAGGGGAACGGTGGGAGGCGGAAGAGAAAGAGTGAAGAATCTCGCGAGAGAGAAGATGGCAATAGGAGGGGACAGGGCAGGAGAAGGAAGGGTGCGCCACTGGAAACAATGCAAGGTGGTACGATGAGCTGGGCAGGGAAGGGGAGGGAGAGCCCCCTCAAACCCCGACGAGGAAGGGAAGGAGAAATGTGTTAGGCGGACACATGCGAACCCCACCCACCTCCACCCTCAGGAATCGTGGGGTGGTGGGCGAGGGCTCGCATGTGGTCACTTCTGCGTATCAGGACGAGGAGGCTGTGGTTCGATCGACGTTCAGCACTGCCAGAGGCGGCCTTCATGCAGATGTGGTGCACCACGATGTGGGTGAGGGGCTGCAGATCCAGAGCGTAGCGACCCTTGCCTGCCCAGGCGGCCGTGGAGGAGGCGGCGGGGCGGGGTGCTACAACAGCGCTGTTCGCGGGAGCGCTGCTGCCCTCGCCGCTGCCCCTGCTCCTGATACCGCTCTCACGGCTCGGCGTTCTTCGCGCTACCCGCAACGACTACTGCTCATTACTGCTGCCGCTCGTCGAACTGCTATCGCCCACGCCGCTACTGCCACCAGGAAGCTGCAGCACACAACCGCACGCATGGACTCACACGTGGAACATCGGGGCGGATGCGGGCAATACTTATGTCTTTATCCACTGCACTACGGAGTTTCGGGCTCCCTTCCCAAGAAACCCGAGGCGCACTGGATATAGATAACTGTGCCCCCTAGAGGCTCGATTTTTATCCATATCCAGTGCGCCTCGGCCTTGTGGCGCCGCTTCCAAAAAAGTCCAAGAGGCACTGGATATGGACGTACATCTTGCCCGCAACGGAAGCCACGCGCTGGATGCGCACGCGGGAACCTGGCGCACACGGCGGCAGAAGGGCCACGCGCTGGAAAAAGCATCCGGGCAAATGTCACGCTCCAAGCCTCGTTCAAGCCGGCCGCGCCATGCGCATCCAACTCCCTGATTCGGCGCCGAGCGCAGTGGGGAATGAGACGGGGCGGGCCTTCTCAGCAGGCTCGGAGGTCCCCCGGCCTTCAGAGGAGTTGCCTAAACCTTCCTCGAAGACACAGAAACTTCCCAGAAGGCCCGAGCGCTCCTGAGAAGCCCCGCCACCTTCTGAGAGGGCCTTCTCCTTCTCACTTCCCCCCCTGGCTCGCCCCCGACTGATGCTGCAACTGCTACTGCTTTGGGTACCTCCGGCATGGGCAACGGAAAAGGAGGCAATCACGATGCCCAACAAGAAACGATGTCCCAGATCGACCACGGTCCCTGTCTCAAGTGGGCAACGCCCGCGGAGACTCCGCCAGCGAGGAAAGCTATTCCTTTCCGTACTCGCTTCCATCGTGCCTCGTGCCTATACCTTTGTGGGCCCCGGAAACGGCAGGGCCGTTTTTTCACCGTTTCCAGAAATATGTCCCTTGAACATAGAAGCGGCAAAAAAACGGCGACCGGAAACAGCCAAAAAACGGCTCCAGGATTGGAACCAGAGCCGGAACCGGTCAAAAAACGGCGACGGAACCAGTAACAAAAACGGCGTCGGAACCATCAAAAAAACAGCAAAACGGAACCGGTTCAAAAACGGCCCTGTCATTTCCAGGGCCCACTAAGTCAACTCCTATCGGGTCGGACGAAAGGGGGGGAGTGAAGGAAGAGTCAGCTGGGACATCAGCTCACACGTCAGGGGCGACGACGGGGGCGAAGAGCCCAGGGGAGAGCAATAAACGGGAGCGGCCAAGAGGGGGGTGGCCAAGAGGGGGGGTGCAAATCATGACCGGCGGCATGTGCGCGGCCCAGCGGGGGGGCCAGGGGCGGAACGAAACAAGACGAGGCGCCGTGAAATCTTGGGAGATATCATGGCCCTCGCCATGATATCCCCCCCCTAGTCATCACCCCCCTCTTTTCCGCTCCCGAAATACATGTATCCAGGTGCGCCGATGATCTATGTCTTCGACAGGGCTCCTGGGCGAATGCGTGTACTGCCCGCCCCTGGGCTGTTCGCCCCCTTAAGGGGCCCCGGAAACGGCAGGGCCGTTTTTTTTTTTTTTTTTTTTTTTTTTTTCACCGTTTCCGAAAAAAAAAACCTTGAACATAAAAAAAACTACAAAAAAACGGCGACCGGAAACGGCCAACAAAAACGGCTGCAGGAGTGGAACCGGAGCCGGAACCGGTCAACAAAAACGGCGACGGAACCGGCAACAGAACGGCAGAACGGAACCGGTAGAAAAAAGAACGGCCCTGTCGTTTCCAGGGCCAACGCCCTGGCGTGCACCAGCCCCTGCCTGCGGGCCCGCCGGCCCGCGGGCAGAGGAGGGGGACATGACTTCAAGAGACCCTCCTCGTCGTCGTCGTCGTCGTCGTCGTCGTCGTCGTCCTCCTCCTCCTCCTCCTCCTCCTCCTCCTCCTCCTCCTCCTCCTCCTCCTCCTCCCTCCTCTTCCTCCCCCTCCTCCTCCTCCCTCCTCCTCCTCCTGCTCCTCCTCCTCCTCCTCCTCCTTCTCCTCCTCCCACCTGCCGTCGCCGCCGAACGTGGCCGACTTTCTGGCGCCTCCCGGCTGCCGGGAGGCGGCGCCAGCGGGCCTCGAGGGAGGGCGCCCGGCGGCGGGGCCGAAGCCGGCGGCGTGCAGCAGCTGCCGACGTTGCTGCTCCCCGGGCTCGGACTTAAAGGGCACTGGAAGCGACAAAGCCGGTATTTTTTACCAGTTCCGTTTTGCCGTTTTTGTTGCCGGTCCCGACGCCGTTGTTTGACCGGTTCCGTGTCGCCGTTGTTTGACCGGTCCCGGCTCCGGTTCCCATCCTGGAGCCGTTCTTGTTTGCCGTTTCCGGTCGCCGTTTTTGTTGCCGTTTCCATTTTCAAATGACATGTTTTTTGGAAACGGTGAAAAAACGGCCCTGCCGCTTCCGGGGCCCACAATGGACTTGGAGGCCTGGAGAGGGGCACCAACACCAAGACAGGGGGGCTGCCTGCACAGGGGGAAGGTGGTCGGCCACCTCGAAAACAGGCTGTATTGCCACCATCACCGAGATCGGGACCTTCCTCCCTCGGTGAAGGGGCACACCGCCGAGGTTGGTGCTGGTGTCGGCCTCGAGGCCTGCGGCAGGCCTCTCCCCTGGTTCGCTCGGACCAGAACTCCGAGGCGACTCCAGCCGTGGCGACGACTGAAGGGGCCCTGGGACACACAAATAGATACACACAAATAAAAGATTCCCCATATTTTCCTACATTTTCTGCGTTTTTGTCTCCCCCACCACTTCCCATATTTTCTGGGGAGTCGACGATTAGTTGTGTCTGTGTGTTTTTTCCCCTCCTGAACGACGGCCTCCCAGGGGGGCCCACAGCGGCGACGGAGGCAAGGCAGCGGCACCGGCACCTTCGATCCGACTGCCGAGGCCACCAGCGGCGGCGACGGGCAGCCCATGCCCCGGGGAGGAGCGCCCTGCCCCCTCCGGCGCCTGGAGAGGCGCAGGGCACGAGCGCCGCCCCCCCGCGGGCCCTCCGCCGCCCCCCCACGGCATCCTCCCTCCTCCTCCTCCTGCCCCTCCTCCTCCTCCTCCTCCTTCTCCTCCTCCTCCTCCTCCTCCGAGATTCCAACCTTTCGCCCGACCAGATCCCGGCCCAAATCCCGAGAGTGGGAGGCGGCGGGGCGGCCTGAACCGGCTGGGGCTTCAGAGCATCGGTCAGGAAGGCGGTTATGAAGCCAAATCTGCTCGACGTCGGTTCCTGGACCCCTCCTGGGGTCTATCTGGCACAATTTTTACACCGGGTCCGTGCCGCCCACTCCCGGGGCTGGAAGCCGAGACATGCAACAAAAACCCCTCGAACCTAGAACCTCCAACCTGACCCTTCGCCTCCTGCTCGCTGGAACCAATGCTTGGCCATCTCAGACCCCAAAATCGACGGTGGACTTTCACTTCACCCGCTTTCGTTTCGTCCTCTTTCGCTTCGTCCTCTCCCGCTTCGTCCTCTCTCGAAGCCAGGACGCATCGAAGCGGACGCCGTGAAGCGGACGCAGTGACATCCGGGCGACATGACACGACATCCCCAGCCGACCCCAACCCGCGAGGCTCTGGGCGCAGGCGGCGGCGCGACGCCTATGGGGATCGCCTGGGCCAGCCGCAGGGCGCAGGAGAGCAGCTCGATGGCCAGGGCGCCCTCCTGGCCGCCGCGAGCCTCGGGCCGCCCGGCAGGATCTCCATCCCGTGCCTTCCTTCGCTCGTCCCTCGGCGGTGGACAGACCTCCCTTTAGTAAACCTCCCCTCAGAGAAAACGGCCTGGGGCCGAACCCGACGGACCTGGACCCGCAAAAATGACGGCCGCGACGCCCCCTCGCGAACCGAAAACGGCCAATTCCTTAATCGACGTGTCAGGGTAGCAGGTCTATCAACCTCCGAGTTCCTCCATTCGTGGCCCGAGGAGAGGTCCAGCCGACTCGGGTGCTCGCCTGACCTCCAGATCCAAACGCCCTGCGCGAGAGCTGGCTCCACGCCTGCTCCTGCTGCTGGGCACGCCTCCTCCCGCTCCCAGCTCCTGCCTCCCGCCGCGCCCCCCCCCCTCCGCACCGGAGGGTACAGGCGGCCTGGCTAGAAGCAGCCTCGATCACTCGTGCTAGCTGCTAGAGTGGGGAGGCTGGCGAGGCAGGTGGGAAGAGCACGGGCCTGGGGATGAGCAGAGACACAGCTTCGCTTAGAGAAGGTGTAGCAAGTTTGTGTGTGGCACTCTCCAGGGGAGCAAAGGGCTGCCAAACAGAGACGTCAGACATCTCTCCATGAAGCCAGTTTTTGCAGTGGGTCAAACTTTCAGCTGGAGCGAAATCCAATCCTCCACCTGCTGAGGGGCAACTATAAAGGACCTGTAATCGGCGATACATCGCCGATCGGATCGGCGACAGGCCCCCGATGGCAAATCCACACGGTCCTCGGCGGGGTGTTGCTTCTGGACCCCTGTCGGCGATCAGTGGGCGAATGGGGGTCGATGGATTCCCCTCTGAACCTATGCCCCCCATCGGTGCCCTGTCGGTGCCCCTGACCAGCTCTTCCTCCTCCTCCTCCTCCTCCTCCTCCTCCTCCTCCTCCTCCTCCTCCTCCTCCCCCTCCTCCTCCACCTCCTCCTCCTCCTCCTCCTCCTCCTCCTCCACCTCCTCCTCCTCCTTCCTCCCCTCCCCCTGCTCCCCCTCCACAATTACTCAATATGTCAATATGAATACTACTCTCCCTCTTCCCCTGATGACGGCTTGAAAGTGTTAGCCCCCCCCCGCGCACTGTTTTTTACGCACAGGATTTTTGTTCCAAAATGCTGCTCTCGCTGAGGCGCCGGCCTCATTTTCGGGCCCCGCTCGTTCCGAATCGTGCTCCCGCTGCAACGCTGGCCTCATTTCCGTGCTTCCGCTCGTTCCGAATCGTGCTCCCGCTGCAGCGCTGGCCTCATTTCCGCGCTTCCGCTCGTTCCGACTCGTGCTCCCGCTGCAATGCTGGCGTCATTTCCCGTGCCATGCCACGGCATGCAATGCAATGCTAGGTTGATACTGCGCTTTGTGGTGCTCTTCTACGCTATGCCATGCCGTGCTCTACAATGCGTCGCGTACCCTTTCGGGATGATTGTCCTGCTCGACATCCGACTACGCGAGTAGAGAGGGGACCTACGCCATGGTAAGGGATGGGAGGAAGGGGTAGGATGTCAGATATGACGCGAGCGCACCTAGCATGTCCTCCTCCCCCTCCTCCTCCTCCTCCTCCCCCTCCCCCTCCTCCTCCTCCTCCTCCTCCTCCTCCTCCTCCTCCCTCCTCCCTCCTCCACCTCCCTCCTCCTCCTCCTCCTCCTCCTCCTCCTCCTCCTCCTCCTCCTCCTCCTCCTCCTCCTCCTCCTCCTCCCCCTCCTCTTCCCCCCCCTCCTCCTCCTGCTGCTGTCGCCTGCCTGCCCCCTGAGGTGGGGGAGGTGGATGTTGCGTCGGTCCTGCTGCTCCACTCGTGGGGTGCGCCCCTCGGCACAGCGGCACACTCGTTTGGAGCCCCGAACCGGTGCGGTGGCGCACCGTGCGGTGACGTCGAAGTCCCCCGAGACCTCACCGCACGGCCCGCCACCGCACGGCCATTGGGACCCCGGAGGCCCCCGTCGCCCGAGGCGTCCTCGGAGAACCGACCCGAGCCCCAAGACCGTGCGGCGACCCCGAATCCCCACCGGCTCGCCGCACGGTGTGGTCACCGCCCCGTTCGGGGGCCCCCGAATTCGGGTGAAGGGGCTGCGCGGTCCGGGGGGCAAATTTGAGCGGGTCGTCTCGGGGCCCTCTCGGGCCGTCCCCGGGCCGTCTTGGAGGTCTTGTGCTGGGGCGGTAGAGGCCCTGTTGGGCCGTGTTCGGTCTCTCGCTGGCTGCTTGGAGCCCCTCCGGGGGCCCTCCTGGAGCTTCGAGTTCTCTTAAGGGCTGTAGTGGGCCCATCTTGGGCTGTCTTGGGCCAGCCCTGTGCCCCTCCCTCTCAGGGCCCTCTGGGGCGCCCAGCGCGCCATATTTTTGCGTCGCTGCAGATTGCCAGGCCGTGCTCGCGAGCACGCGCGCGCGAACCCCCCCAAAAGAGTGGCGCAAGCGCGGCATGTCTGCATCTCGATGCTGGGTGGCATGTTCTGCGCCGAGTCGGCAACGACAATGACGTGCAAGAGCAGTGACCACCCAGAGCCGCTCCGACCCCTAACCACTATGCCGTGCACAGGGAGAGGTGCCCTGCCCATCCAGGACTCCGGAGAGCGGGGAAGGAGGATCGGGCTCGGCGGCGAGCCCAGGGGGGGAAGTGAGAGGGTGCAGGCCTTGTCAGGAGGCGCCGGCGCCTCTCGGAAGCCCTCGCGCTTTCTGATGGCCTGGACGACGCTGTCCGGCAGCGCCGAGTACTCGGACAAAGGCCCTCTTCTGGCGGGCAGAACCTCGAGAGCACCACGGACTGCACCTCGGCCGGCTGCCTCGCCGAGAGCCCGAAGGCGCCGCCGCCGACGGGGTAGCGCCTGCGGCAGGCGGCCAGCCGCTCCCCCTCCCCGGCGGGCGCGGCGGGCGCCGCCCCGCCGGCGCGGGGCGCGCCCGAGCTGCTCGGCCAGAGCGCGCCGTCCTCCTCCTGGAGCCGCCGCAGCGCCTCGACGGCGGCGAGCCGCGCCCGCTCCACTTCCTCTGGCGACTCGTCCTTCGGGCGGGAAGTGGGCGTCTTCTTGCGACCTCTGTCCGGACCGTTCCTTATCCTGTGCTGAACACGCCACGCCTTATCTCTTTTGAGCCAGACGACGTATGCTTGACGCCGCTCTGGCCACGGTGGCGGTGGTCGCCAGCGCGGAGCCGCCCGAGCTGGTCCTCCCACTCGAGCCGCCACAACGCCTCGACGGCGGCGAGCCGCGCCGGCTCCAGCGCTTTTTGGCGACCCGTCCTTCGCGAAGGAATTGGGCCCCTTCATGCGACCTTTGTCTGGGCCGTTCCTTAACCTGTAAGGAACACGCCAGCTCTGATGTGCTACGTCCCACCTCATATACTTCACGCCGCTCTTGCGCTCTGCGATGCCCGCGCCGACGAGCCTGGCTGCGGCCGGAGCACGCGCCCCGCGGCCGCCGCCAGGGCTGCGAAGACTGCGGCCGCGGCCGCGCCGCGGCGGCCGCGCTAGCGGCAGGGCATGGCGCGCCACTCTGAGCGTAGCGGCGCGGCGGGTGAGCGAGCGGCGCGGGCCGGGTGCTGGATCCGCCCAAGGGCGCGTGCTCGAGCCTCTGACTGCTAGAGCCAAAATGGCTACGGACGCCTAGCGCGCCATGTTGGGGCGCGCTTGGGGGCATCGTGGGCCGTCGTGGAGGCTAGGAAGACCGCGAAAGCGAGTGTCCCGAAATCGTACAAAATCATACAACGACCAATTGCGAGCATCCGTGATGGTTGTCTCTTCGTGGCCTCTTGGGGGTCATCTTCGGAGCCCCCTGGGGCTGTCGAGTGAGCCTGTTGCCTGGTCTTGCAGCCATGCTGAGCCGTCTTTGGCCGTTTTGGTCCTCTCGGGGTCACTTCGGGGCCTCATTGAGACATTATTGGGCCTCTTGGAAAATCCTGGGCCCTCAAAATGCGCCAGCGACTTAGCATCCCTGGTCGGGCCTTGAGTTTTGGCGGATCGTGTTTCTATGAATGGGTCATGTGGCTGTGTTGTTACAGCATCATTCCTAGCCACCATTCATTCGCATAGCTGCAGGTTTGTATGCATGCATGCTTGCAAGAATGTATGCCTGCCTGCCTGCCTGCCTGCCTGCCTGCCTGCCTGCCTGCCTGTCTGTCTGTCTGTCTGTCTGCCTGTGTGTGTGTGTCTGTATGTATGTATGTATGCATGCATGCATGTATGTATGTCTGTATGTATGTGTACATGCATGCATGTATAATATATATATATATATATATATATATATATATATATATATATATATATATATATATATTGTTTATGCTTATAATGAATATACGACTTCTGTCCGCAAACAACTTCACTTCCAATTCAATATCGACATCCGCTTCAAGGCTCGGCAACCCGCGAGCGTTCAGGGCTCGCTGCGGCAAGGCTGGAAGGAGGAAGATGGAACGACCCGATTATGGAACGGACCGATTGACCTTGTGCATTTGCTGTTTCGACTCGTCTCCGAACTCCTTCCACTCCTGGCCTAAGACGAGGCCAAGACGGGGACAGCATCGGATCGGGCCAGATCGATGACCTCTGAGATCCGGCGGTTCTGGTGGATGCATCGGGCGGCGCGGCAGTTCCAGAGCGCTCCAAAACGCTCTGAGAGCGTTCGGGAACGCTCTGGAGCGGTCTCTCCTGGCCCTGGCCCCGGCCGACAGACTCCCCCCACTCCCGGCGCGCCACACTGCACGACGCATCAGTCAACACGCAGCCACTGGCAGGTAGCACCTGCGCGCCTGGCTCTGCCGAAGGGGTGACGGGGAGGAGAGAGAGAAAGCGGGGATCGGTCGGATCGAAGTGACCGCGCTGCGATCGTGCTCGGCCCTAGGAGAGCCCAGAATCGAATCGATAAGCCGGATCGGCGGTCGAAATGAATCGGATCGGTGAAAATCGGCAGCCGAGTCGGGAAAAGTCGAATCGGCGGAGATCGGCAGGCTAGTATACCTCCAAGAAAAAATCGAACTCCAAATCGGAATCCCAGTTCGAATCGAATCGGAATCGGAAGCCATCGAAATCGAATCCAATCGGAGGAATCCAAACGAGCCCTGCTACGCCCTTCCTAGCTGAGGGGCGGCGCGTCGGTGACGCCGTTCAGCATGGTGGGCAGCGCGCTGATCAGGGATCCGAAGGCCTGCCTGGCGGCCCTCTGGGAAACGTTGAGGCCAGCCAGCGCCCCGAGGCACCTGGCGCCGCGACAGAACAACATAACACAAACACGCACACACACACACATGCACACGCACACGCACACACGCACAAACGCACACACACACAACACGCACGCACACGCATACGCACACGCACACGCACACGTACACGTACACGTACACGTACACGCGCACGCACACGCACACGCACACGCACGTGCACAACGCACACGCACACGCACACGCACACGCACACGCACACGCACACGCACACGCACACGCACAACGCACACGCACACGCACACGCACACGCACACGCACACGCACACGCACACGCACACGCACACGCACACGCACACGCGCACCCGCGCACGCACGCGCGCACGCGCGCACGCACGCACGCACGCACGCACACGCACACACACGCATGCACACGCACACGCACACGCACACGCACACGCACACACACACGCACGCACGCACGCACGCACGCACGCACGCACGCACGCACGCACGCACGCACACGCCCACACACGCATGCACACGCACACGCACACGCACACGCACACGCACAAGCGCACGCACACGCACACGCGCCCACACGCAGACACACGCAGACACACGCAGACACACGCAGACACACAGACACAGAGACACACAGACAACCAGACACACTGACACACAGACACACAGACACACAGACACAGACACAGACACAGACACAGACACAGGCACAGGCACAGGCACAGGCACAGGCACAGGCACAGGCACAGACACAGACACACACACAGACACACACACACACACACACACGCCCGCCCGCCCGCCCGCCCGCCCGCCCGCCCGCACCTTCACACACACACACCTTCACACACACTCACAAACATTCACACACACACATACACACACACGCACCCATTCAAACACACACGCACCGACACACTCACGCATCCACACCCACACCTACACCCACGTCCACACCCACACGCACACCCCCCCCCCCCCACCCCACACCCCCCCCACCCCCTACACACGCACACACACACACACATGCGCACACACACAAATACACACACACGCACATACGTGTATACGAATGTTCGTGCAGATGCTCATATATGTCGAAAGCATGAAAACCTATGCGTACACACATAGGTATGCATACCCGCATGCATGTATGAATGATTGTAAACGAGAAAAATGTACTCTGACGCGCTCCCTCCATCAAAACTCGAGACTACCACTTTCAGATAGGCTCAAACTCTCGGAGGTCCGCGCGGATTTCTTGGGCCGGCTCTCAACCCGCCCACCCTGGCGGCACCTCCAGCGCCGCCCCTGGCGCCCTTGGCGCGCCAGGGGAGGGGTATCCATCGCCGCCCCAAGAAACCCGAGCGGATCGCACAGCTGCTCTAATGGAATGGTGTGCCCCTCTAGACGTGCATCAACAAAGCCATAAACGCAGAGCCAAATACACAATATATACCATGCCGCCACACACGCAGCATCATTGACCTGGCGAAATGCTCGACTTACGAAGCTGCTAATAGCGCGAGGTATGGCCCACACGTCATGGGCACCGCGCCGCGAAAAAGATGCACCTTGAGGCAATGCGGATAGTGTGCGCATTGTGATGGGCGTGCCCGAATCAAGCGGTGACGCCATGCACGCCCTCCCGTTGGGGCATTCACTAGAGCTCCCTCTGGAGCTACGAAACGTGCGAGGGGTGCGCAGAGGTGGCCTGGGGGACGCTGTGCGCCACCGTGCCACCGAAGCATGCGGTGGCAACCCATGCGGGGCCGCGAACTGTGCGAGGGGTGTGCCGAAACGGGCGGGACGACCGCATGCGGCACCACGCCGCTGAGGCCTTCGGTGGGGCTCCAGGTGGGGCCACGCAACGTGTAAGGGTGTGTGCTGAAGTGGGCGGGGGGGACGCTATGCGGCACCATCCCACTGAGGCCCTCGGTGGAGCTTCATGTGGGTGCGCTAAACGTGCAAGGGTGTGCCGAAATGAGCCTTGGGGGCGCTGTGCGGTCGGGGCCTTCGGCGGAAGTCCATGTGGGGCCACGAAGCGTGTGAGGGGTGTGCCCGAACGGTCTGGGTGACCGCATGCGTTGGGCCCCACTGAGGCCTTGGTTGTAGCTATCTGTGGGGCCGCGAAACGTGCGAAGGGTGTCGAGTGGGCAGCCGCACAACGGCCACGCCAACAAGGACGCAACGACGCGGCCAGAGCTTGAACGCAACGGTGCAGAGAGGCAGCCACGGATGCAGACGTGCGGAGACGCGAGAAGGCAGCGATGCCGAGGTGGCATGCGAGGACGGCCCCCGACAAGGTCCCGCCGGAGCCACGAGGCAGGCCCAAGCGCACGGGCCCCAAGACCAGGGAGAGGCCACAACACTGAAGGCATGGTCGCCGCAGCGACCTCCCAGTGTCCCTCCCGAGCGCCTCCCCGAATCTCCTGGGCAACGCGTCGCTCTTTGGTTGACCTCTCTCCGGCCATGTCGGGCGCAACGACCTCCCGGCGCCCCTCCCGAGTGCCTCCCCGAATCTCCTGGGCAACGCGTCGCTCTTTGGTTGACCTCTCTCCGGCCACGTCGGGCGCTGGCAGGACGGGGTCTCGTGGGACCGGGTTTCGTGACCTGTGCTCAGGGAGGCCCCCCTCGCCCCGTTCCACAAGCGGGAGCTGCCGCCACCCGAGGAACACTAGCTGCGGCAGGCCTGGTGCAGTGATCCCCGTCCATCTGAGGGCTCCAGGGCTCCACTACTAACCGGGCCCCCTTCTCTGGGATCCTGGCTGCACTGTTCTTCGGGTCTGACGGAAACTGCGCCGAATGTTCGTGGCCATACATACATTCGACGCCCGTGTTGATCCGACGACGATCTCGATTTACTGCTGCAGTCGACCCCCTACCCCCTACTCTCTGCGGCGAGCGAGGGTTGGAAGAGAGAAGGAGAAGGCCCTCTGAAAGGCGGCGGGGCTTCTCAGAAGCCCTCGCGGCTTCGGAGATTTCTGTACTCGCGGAAGGCTTAGAAAAATCCTCAGAAGGCCGGGGGACTTCCGAACCCTCTGACAAGGCCTTCTCTTTCTCACTTCCCCCCCTGTTCGCCGCCGATACTCAAGACACAAGTTGAAGAGACGTAAAACTCGGGCACGGGGGACTCGGGTTGGCCTGACGGGGCCATCATGAAAATGGCAAGACCCAATCGGAAACTCGACGCGAACTCTCGCTGCAGACCTCCCACGAAACCTGGACCGTCAGAATCCAAGAAGACGCGCTTGCAAGACAGCTCCGGCAACCCCGGGTTCCGGCTTACCCGAGTCCTACGTTTTTCCCCCGACCAAGGTCGGCAGCGCGCAGAGGGGGGTAGGGGGAGGGGGGAAGGCTTCTTAGAAGGAGGCTGCTCCTCAGACGGCGCCAGCCCTACATCTATAGAAAAGGTTGGCGCCTTCTAAGAAGCAGGGGTGCTTCTAAGAGGCCTTCCCCCCTCCCCCTAATTACCCCCCTCTGCGCATGGCCGACCGAGGCGCGCGGGCGGTGGCGGGGCACGCGCTCTTCACCGCGGGCTCCGGGTGCGCCGCCAGCAGCTCCTCGGCGCGCGGGCCGCGGCGGCGGCGCCCCCCCCCCGCCGCGCGCGAGGCGCGGGGCATCTCGCCTGCCATCGCTCGGACGTCCATTCCCTGTGTCTTTTTCGGTTTCGTGCGTGGCTTTTTCGCCAAATGATCAAGGATGCTCCTCGATGGTCCTCGCCGACAGAAAAATGCACACGTCAGAGCGATGCCAAGCCAAAGGGCGCGCGAGCAGGCGGAGCCGGCGAGGGCCCCGCGGGCACGAACCGCGGCGCGCAGCGCCAGCCAGCGGACGCCCCGAACGCTCTGTCCCGGCGGCGGCGAGGCAGGGGCAGACCGCTCCAGCTCGTGGCGCTTCGGGGCCAACGGGCGGCGAATCACGGAGGGGCCCAAGGGCACACAAATACATGCACACACGAATAGAACTATTTCCCATATTTTCCCATATGTTCTGGATTTTCGTCTTCCCCCCCCCCCCCCCCCCCCCACACTTCCCATACTTTCCCAGATTTTCTGGGGACTCGACGATTCATTGTGTCTGTGTGTTTCTACCCCTCCTGGAATTAGCCCGCGGGCAAGAGGGGGGGAGCCAGAGCAGCCGCTGCCGTCAACGAGAGCACAGCGGGCCAGGCAGAGCGCGCGCACCCGCAGAAGGGGCACGCTCGAGCCGAGACGGGCTTGCGCCAGGCTGCGGCAGCCGACCGCGCACGCACGCACGCACGCACGCACGCACGCACGCACGCACGAACGCACGCACGCACGCACGCACGCACGCACACACACGTGGGTGGTTCCAGAAACCCCTGAACTCCAAAAGTTAACGGGCGACAAACGGTATGCCACAAACTCTTTCGCCGTCGGGGGCGCCTGCCCCAGGGCGGCTGGAAAGTTTGTACCCCTACGGTGGCCCAGTAAGGGTCTAAACTTTCCAGTCGCCCGGGGGCAGGCGCCCCCCGACGCCGAACAAGTTCATTATATACTGTTCTTCGCTCGCTGAAAAAGGTGCACATCTCTTGGGGGCGCATCTTTTGCCTCCGCCGGCTTCCGCCGGGAGACGCCCTCGTCCTGCTTCCCTTCCGCCAACTTCCGCCACCCTCCACCGAGGAAGAGACATCCGAGCTCCTTCGAGCCTCGCGGGCGCGAGACCCTCCCTGGAGAGCGCCTCGCGTCCGTTGCTGGCCTCCGAGGAGGCGGCAACTGGGCCGCCCCCCTCTGGCAACTGCCCGCTCCGTCGACCCGCCGCCCCCGCCGCCGCGGGCAGGATCCGCCAACCTTGGTGGGCCCTGGAAACGGCACGGCCTAACCAGCCTCGAACGTATCCCTATCCCTAAGATGGGCGAGCAAAAAGCGAGGACAATCTTAGGGACAGGCCCTCAAAAACTGAGGGAATCCTTAAGATCGGCATCGAGGTGAGGTGATGTCAAACATAGGGATAGGGATATGTTCCAGGCTGGTAACGGCCGTGTGTTCACTGGCTCCGTTGTGCCGTTTCTGCTGCCGTTTCCGTCGCCGTTGTCTTGCCGGCTCCGTCGCCGTTTTTTCTTATCTCGGCTCCGGCTCCACATCCCCCTTCTGGAGCCGCTTTTTTGTATGCCGTTTCGGGCTGCCGTTTTTGTCACCGCTTCCACTTGCAGAACACATGTCCTCGGCAACGGTGACAAACGGCCTTGCCGCTTCTGGGGCCCACCAAGCAGCCAGCGTCGAACCTGGAGAGGCGGGACCGAAGCGGAGCGTGCGCCGGATCGGGCCGGTCCCCGCACGGGGTCGGGGGTGACCGGTCGCGCGAGGGGGCACCGGCTTGCCAGGCAGGGCGGGCATCGGGCCGCGTCGGAGCGACGGAGCATCGGAATCGGATCGGCTCGGAGTGGATCGGCGTCAGAATCGGATCCGAGTCGAATCGGAATCGGATCAGAATCGGCTCGGATCGGGATGGCGGGAACCGATGCCGCATCGGACCTATCGGATCGAAGTGGACCCTGACCGGGGGGCAGCAATCAAGAGAACGAGAAACTTCAGCGTGCAGATTCTTCCTTGCGTCACTTAGAGGCCCCTTGGGGGCCTCAAGAGGCCCCGAGGCACCCAAGAGGCCCGCAGGAAGCTCCCAGAAGCCCCCAAAAGGGCCTGAGGGTCCTCCGAGAGGCTTCTTCTTCCTTCATCCCCTGTCTTTCTAAATTCGGCGGTGGAAAAATCTCCCTTTAGTAAACCTCCCCTTAGTGAAAACGGCCTGGGACCGAAACCGACAGACCTGGACCCGCAAAAATGGAGGCCGCGACGCTCTCTCGCGAACCGGAAACGGCCAATTCCTTAATCGACGTGTCAGGGTAGGAGGTATATCCACCTCCGATAAATCACTCCTCCCTGTCGCGCCTCGGGGCTGGTGGCAAGGGCACGGCTTCAAGCGTGCCTCTCGCCACAGCGGCGCGCACATCATGTGTGAAAAGTTGCAAGAACCTCTCGGATCGGGGGCGGGCCGTTTTCAAAATGTGGCTTTCGCCTACATGCCGCGCACATTCGCGTACACAAATTGAAAGAGTTTCAGGGGTTGAGGGCGGCTTGTGGCTTTAAATGTGGTCCTTGCCTTAGCGCCGCACACGCTCGCCTTAAGAATTGCAAGGGCTTCACGGATTGAGGGCAGTTTCTTTTCAAGAGGTGGGTCTCGTATTAGCGCCACGCGCAATAGACTTCAAACATTGCGAGAGTCTCACATGTTCCCATGGTTTCACGTACCCAACATGGTGTTTTGCAGCGATGCAGGATTGTCATGACGCAATGGTATGTAGTTTCGCGGTCCTGTTGAAGTACCAAGATTGGTTTCTTGCGCAATTCAGCGTCGTCAAGACGCAACAATCAGGTTGGTTCGTGGCGTTGAAGTTCCGAGAATGGTGTTTTGGCACGCGGTTGTCTCCCAACGGGGCACTGGCCTGAGTGGTGGACATGAACCCTTGTAGGGGTCTATGAAGGAGGGAGCTTGGAGGGAGGGTATATTCCAACATCGTTGATGAGTCCAGAGTTTACATTGGTCCTCCTCCTCCCCTCCTCCACCTTCCTCCTCCTACTCATCCTCCCTTCGCCTCCTCCTCCGACTCTCTCTTTCTTGTTCGAGTGTCACCCCCAAGGGTTTTCGCAATGGCTGGGGAACCACACAATTAGTCCAACTGCCAGGTTAAGCTTTGGCCCGACGTTTGACCGCATCGGTTGCTCCAGAAAGGCGGAGAGCGGCGGTGACTCGGAACAGGAAGTAGGCAGGCGCTGAACATAGATTGGGTGTCCGCCCGACCGACCGCCCCCTGAAAGGAAGGAGGAGGGAACACCACTGGATTGTTGAAACAGGAAGGTGCCTAACGCAAACTAGAGCCTCAAAATCCAACATATACCGACGCTCAACGATCGATGGGTACCCGCATACTTCTCGCCCTCCCTCCTCTCGCCGGTCCTTCCCTCTTGGCGCGGAAGAAGCGTGCCCCGGAAGGAACGGATTCTAGACCCCGCGGCCTCGCCCGTGAACAGCTCAACTTGCTGACGGGCCCCTGGGCGTTGTTCAATGGGGAGCGATCCGTGGGAGGCGGAGAAACGTGAACCTTCCCCGTGCTCCTCTTTGGGTCCCAGAACTCCCTTCAGGGCCCCTAGAAGTGCACGAAGTGTGCACCTTCCTCCACCCCTCCAGTCATGGCCCCCATGACGCAACGCCCGAGACCAGGGGCCCGTGAGAGGCCCCAGGGAGACCGAACGCAGCCGCAAACAGGCAGGGCACACCTCATCCAGGACGCGTTTTCTTCATGCCGCCCCTCCTGCGCCGCCAGCTGGCAGCATGAATGGAAGGCAGGGAGGCGTGCTGCCGCCTCGCCCGCAGCAGCGGCAGAGCCTGACCCAGGACCTATCCACGACGCTTCGGCCAATCTCGCTCTGGTCTGTCGGACACGAGGTCGGCGAGGCCAGCAAAAGAGACGCCGGCAAAGCGCTTCTGGAGATCTACCGCCTCAACCTTCAAGCCCTTCAGCTCCTCTTCTTTCCTAAGCTTGAACGCGTCCGACTTCTTGGCCGACATGTTCGCAAACAGGAAAACGTCCACCTCGTAACCAATATCTATAAGAGCACCCTTTCGCCCAAAGTGGCAGACAGTGCCGTCAACCACCGCCCCCACTTTCAAATCCTCGAGCCTCTGCAACTTGGGCATTCCAACAACGGACACGCCGAGGACACCAGCCGTCACGTTCACATGCTCTACCGTTACGTTCACGGCCTGCTTGCGCTTTAGCCTTCTGCGCTCTTTTCTGGGAGCGAGGACAAGAGCATGCTGCTCGCACCCGAGCTCAACGAACAGATTCCCGATCGCGGAAATGTCTACGACCGTGCCCTCAAATGTCTCGCCCACCTCCATGTCCGCCAATGGCCTCTTCTCTGGCTTCGCCTCGTTGTGCTCCAGATCCCCTGGCCCCTCGCCGTCCTCGTCTTCCTCCACTTCCTGCGTCGTCTCCTCTTCCTCCCGTTCCCTTCTCGACGGCCTGCTTGCCACGAGGTCCGACAACCCAGCGAAAGAAACGGTGGCCGCCCGCTTCTCGGCGTCCACGCGATTAACCCTCATGCCCTTCAGCTCCTCGGACGGCTCAAGCTTCATCGTCTCGTTCTTCATCCCCGATAGCCTGACGGCCCGCTCACAGCCAATGTCAATTCGCCGGCCCAACGGGCCAGAGGCGTGCTGAGATCTCCGGTGACTGCTACATGATACTTCTACTTCGCGCACGCGGGGCGGCCCCTGGGGGTCCCCGGACGAACAGTCCCCCGGGCGATCCCCGGCAGGGTCGGGTCAGAGATGGTTTTCCTCCTGGGCGCCGCCCCCGTGGCCCTCCAGACAGCCCCAAGAAGGGCCACGAGGCCGCCAAGAGCCCTCCAAGATGGTTCAAGAGTGCTCCGAGATGCCACACGATCGTTCCAAGACGGCCAAGATGGCCCCCAGACGCCCCAAGAGGCCTCCAAGAGCACCCCCCAGAGTGCCCCAAGAGGCAAAATTCATTAGTTTTCCTTAGGTTTTGGCCAGAGTTTGGCGTGTCCATCTTTTCGGCTTCCCGACGCCCCAAGACGGCCCAAGAGGCCCCCAAGTTCGCCCCAAGGGGGCCCAAGAAGGTCCCAAGAAGGCCCCAAGATGGCCCAAGAGGGCTCCAAGACGGCCCCAGAGGCCTCCAAGACGGCCCAAGAGGGGGCTCAGAGGGGCCCCAGAGGGCCCCAAGCGATGCCCCAAAGGGGGAACACAAAACAAAACTTCGAGCCCTCGGTCTTAAGAAGCCCCTAGGAGGCCTCAAGAGCCCCCAAGAGGCCCTCAGGAGGCCCCCAAGCGACGCTGAAGAGGCCCCCCAGCGGCCCCAAGAGGCTCAGTCATGCGAAATGGGCCGGCGGAATGAGCGAAGCGATTCAATAAAAACGCCTCTTCCCGACTTGTAGACGACGATGCCGTCGACTGTCTCGCCCTCCTCCAACTCTCCGATGAGCCTCGGCTTGGGCACCCCAGCAATGGTCAGGGGGACCTAAGACCTGGGTACAGGGGACTCGGAAATCCCCGACGAGGTCGTCAAAAAAATGACGAGGCCGAACCTGCATTTTGACGAGGCCTCCCGCTGCAGACATCCCACGAAACTCCTCCTCGTCAAAATCCGAGGCGCGGCCGTCAAAAAACGATGGCGAACCCGAGTCCTGGCAAACCCGGGTCTTACGCTCCCCCGAAATGGTCACGTCGAAGGTACCGTCCGTGTTGACGCTCTCCACGGTGGCGGCCACGGTCCGCTCCCCGCACCCGAACCTGTCGGCCAGCTCCCTTCGGGGCGCGAGGGCGTACCCCCACTGCTCGGGCGCGCCGACCAGGGGGGCCCGAGTGGTGGACGCCATGACACTGGACACTCGAACAGCCCTATCATTGAATCAAACATGTGCTTCAAAATGCTTCGAGCGTGCCCGTACCATGTCTTGAAGACGTGCCTTCAGTCCTAATGTCTATGTTGAAGACCTGTCTCTGACACCTGGGAATTATTTTGATAACGCGCCTCCTCCCCAGCGCTCGTATTCCACACAAGGCCAGCGAGGGGGAGTCGGCGCCCCGAGGCTTGCATGCGGACGAGGGGGGGGGGCCTCAGTGGGCCCCGGAAACGGCAGGGCCGATTTTTCACCGTTTCCGAAGAAAAGCCTCTTGAAAATGGAAACGGCGAAAAAGGGGGGACCGGAAACGACAACAAAAACGGCTCCAGGATTGGAACCGGACCCGCAACCGGCCGAAGAACGGCGACGGAATCGGTAAAAAAAACAGCGTCGGAACCGGCAAAAAAATGGCACAACGGAACCGGTAACAAAACCGGCCCTGTCGTTTCCAGGGCCCACTACGGGGGGGACAAGAGGGCGCATCGAGGAAAGCGGAGGGGGGCACGACAGGGCAGGATGGCAAGGGGCAGGGTGGATCATCAACCTGCGTAACTAGTTTTCCAAGGGCCTCCTGGCAGAGGGAGGCGCCAGTGCATCGAAGAATGGGCATGGTGGCGGGGCGGAAACCAGCTGTATGCAACAGATTTCGTACCCCCCCATTCCCGATCTCCCCTTCTTTGAGCAGGGACCGACCGTCCCAGCATTCCTATGGTCCTACTACGAAATGCTATGAGAACCTAAACATGTTCAAAAAACGAAAACAATGTTCTTAGAACAGGAACCCTATGTGCTAAAACAATACACTCTCCGCCAAAAATGTTCTAAGAACATTTCGTGGAAACCAGAAAAGATTCTTAGAACACTGTCTGGTGGGGCTATTGGGGAGCCAAAAACGCTTCGCCACTGTTCAACCTTCTCGTCTGGCCCAAGGAGGGGGCCATGACATCTGTGAGATGCCCCAGCCCCCGTCGTGGTAACCATCCACACCGCCCCAATAGTCCTTCGGGGGAGACTCGCTGGCACCGGTTCCGCTGTCCCCTGGAGGCCTCACAAGGGTGCACTCTGGCAACAAAATCCGATGCGAATCCAGCCGTGGCGACGAAGGACGGGTAGTGGTACCGGTACCTTAGGAGGGAAATTACCAGCCTCGAACGTATCCCTATCCCTGAGATTGACACGCCAAAAGGCGATGACAATCTTAGGAATTCGCCCTCAAAAATTAGGGAATCCCTAAGATTGGCATCGTGATGAGGAGGTGCCCAGCATAGGGATACGGATATGTTCCAGGCTGGTAAGGAAATTTAAGGATGTCTTCGCAAGAGCGATCCAGGGCAATCAAGCCCGACTGCTGCGGGGCCATTGGGCCGCATCAGGCCGACCTACGCCCAGATTAAGTCGAACTGGTTAAGAGGGGCTCAGCCTGACTATGCTGGAGCAGGCTGGTCCCCGGCCATGGATGTACGGACGCCGATGCTGAGATCAACCTCCCAGGAGATGCACCCTGAGACCTGAGGGAAAAACCTTTTTTTTGGGGGGGGGGCCTCGTTGATGTCTGACCTCTTCGGTTGTCCGTGGCTCTCTGCGGCACCCAGCTCACCCCCGCGAGGGGCCCAGCCCGTACTGGCCATCGCTCGGACGTCCGTTGCCTGTGTTTTTGTTCGGTTTCGTGAGTGTTTGTTTTTTTTTTTTCGCGAAATGATCAAGGATGCTCCGCGATGGTCCTCGCCGAAGAAAACAATGCACACGTCCGAGCGATGCCAAGCGTAGACTGGGCGCAGGAAGGCCACCCAGTTCGACGCACCCGATCTTCTCGTAGCCGAGCTCGATGGCGAACCCGGACCCGGCCCGGCGGATCGTGCCCTCCAGCGTGGCGCCCACCTCCACGAGGGCTCCCGACTTCGCGCCTCGCGCTGCGCGAGAAGCGCGAACAGCTTCGCGCCCTCGCGCCGCCCCCCCCCCCCCAAAGGGAGGAGAGGAGGACGAGGAGGAGGGGGGAGGAGGAGCCGAGGCCCGCGAAGCGCGAATGACCCCGCGCCGTCGCGGGAGCCCTTCCCTCCAGCGGGGCGCCCACCGCCAGCTCTGCCGGGGGCCGCTGCGGGGCGGACGCGGCCCCGTCGCCGCCCCGCGCCGCGCCCGCCCCCCGCGGCCCGGCGCTCGCCTCCTGCGCGCCTGCTGCTGCAACTCGTGGGAGCCTCCCATGCCCTGTGCAGGGACCGACCGTCCCGGCATTCCTGCAGGTCCTACCACGACATGCCCTTAGAACCCAAAACTGCTGTATGTGACAAGAACAAGGTTCTTAGAACATGAACCCGATGTGTTCAAACAAGACGGTCCCAACCAGGAATGTTCTAAGAACATTTCGCGGAAACCACAGAAGGTTCTTAGAACATTCTTTGGTAGGGCTATAGGCGAGCCAGGACGCTTCGCCACTGTTTGAATACCATCTCCACGGCTCTTGCGACTCGGCGCTGATCCACGCTGGTCGACGCTCGTTCGACGCGAGTCGGCACCAATAGACGCGAAGTTGACGCCAGGTGGGCGACGTCCCATCGATCACCAGACGCCAGTCGGCGTCAGCGCACTCGAGAGACGACTGTGCGAGGGTACGCCCTGCCATCGCTCGCACGTCCCTTCCCCGTGCATTGCTTGGTCTCGTGCGCGTGCTCATCTCGTCGGATGATCCAGCACGCTCATCCGGGGTCCTCGCCGAGACAAGATGCACACGTCCGAGCGATGGCGAAACTCTTAAGACGGAACTGCGAGGCTACACTGAGGCCGGGCGTGTCCCCCTACAGACGGATGTTGGACAACGAATGAAAAACATACGTCAAACATGCTGACACATAGCCGAAACATCACCCCCCAGACTATTTGTTGTTTACTATTTCTGAACACTCCTCCTGTAGAGGGACACGCCCGACCTTTGGGGTACACGAGGCTCCCACGACTTGCCACCGCACGGGTAAAACAGGGCTAGGATCGGGATAAATCGCTCCAGAGCGTTCCGGAGCGCTCTCAGAGCGTTCCGGAACGCTCTGGAGCGGCCGCGGCGCCCAATACATCCCCAAAACCCGCCGATTCTCAGACATTTCGAGTTATCCCGATCCGATTTTGTCCCGATCTTCGTGTCGTTTTAACGGGCCCCCCGGGCGCGCCGCCCGCCGCCGCCAGGCTGTAGCGGAACGCCATCCGCTGGCCGCCGCCGTCGGCCGCTGCCTCCTCCTCCGCGGGGTCCGCCTCGGGCGACAGGTCGTACCGGAACGGGGCGGCCCCCTCCGGCTCCGCCCGCGCGCCCGCGCGCCGGTCTCCCTGGCCTGCCTCCGCGTCTCGCCAGCCACGCCAACCATCCTCCGCCTCTCGGCGCCGGCCCTCCTCTGCTCCTCGCCAGCCCCGCCGACCGCCGTCTGCTCCCAGACCCCCCCCCGACGTCGTGACTTTGTGCCCGGCGTGGGCCCCATGATGCCCAGAACCATTCCCCGAGAGCGGCTGTCCATCCCAAGTCGTTGCTTGACGGTCCCACTTGGACCGCCACGGGTGTTGCTGAGCGGATGGGAGGGTTATCAACGGATGCCAAGTTGGATTTTAGGTGGCCCAGTCTGGCTTAGAGTGGGGTTGCAAGATGCATGCCCTGGCCGAGTGGGCGGAGCCCACTTCGCGGAGTCATGCACCCCCCCTCTCCTAAGCCAGGTGAGGCCAGCTATACACATACCTCGGCATCCCCCTGCAGCCAGAGGCGGCAAATTGCCAAACGCCCCGCGCCGTGCCAGGGCTTCCTGGGGGCACAAGAACCAGCATGCACGTGCGCAGGGCCGTGGGAGGCGACGAAGGTCCTCTGCCTGCAGCTCTGGACAGACGCGGCGGCTGTCTCGACACGTGGAGAGCCGTGGTGCGACAACACGCCGTCTGACTCCGACTGCTCGCACGGCCGCCGCTGTGCCGTCACGGCATGGCTTCTGACCTGACCTGACCTCGCGCCGTGCTTCTTTTCACGACGCGGGGGGGGAGTCTGGGCTTCTCGCCAGCCGCGCTGCCCACCCTCGGCCTCTTGCCAGCCGCGCCGCCCGCCCTCCGCCTCTGGCCAGCCGCGCCGCCCGCCCTCCGCCTCCTGCCAGCCGCCCCGACGCCCGTCCTCCTGGTGAGAGACCCAAGAGGAGGGCAGAAAAGCCATCCCCATGAGATTCACCCCGGCACGCGAAGCCGTTTAGTACACGCACCCACAGGAGGAACCGAACAGGGCAGGGCTGTTTAGTAAACGCCCAGGGGCGTTTAGTAAACGCCACTGATCAGATCCAGGTGATGCTTCCTCTCTTGATCAAAGGTACCCTGACCGCTACACCTCGGACATCTCCCGGGGCGCGCTCTGGCCAAAGTCCGAGGCGAATGCAGCTGTGGCGGCGAGACCCTCCCAGGAGGCCAAGAAAAACGACAGCGAGGGAAGAGCACCCGTCGGTCGGAAAAAGTAGGTGAGAACGTGCAGTAGGAAGGCGTTGGAAGTAGGTTGGGTTCCCGCCCGCCCCCTGAAGATGAGGGAAGAGGGCAAAAACCGCTCGACTCTTGAAGTAGCACGGCGGCGAAAGCAGATTGGGACACGGGCATCCAAAAGGTCCTACCTCCGACGACCGACGGGACGTGGTATCGGTACCTTTTTCTCCTCGGACCCTCCGCCTCTTGCCAGTCGCGCCGCCCGCCCTCCGCCTCTCGCCAGTCGCGCCGCCCGCCCTCCGCCTCTCGCCAGTCGCGCCGCCCGCCCTCCGCCTCTCGCCAGCCCCGCCGCCCGCCCTCCGCCTCTGGCCAGCCCCGCCGCCCGCCCTCCGCCTCTCGCCAGCCGCGCCGCCCGCCCTCCGCCTCTCGCCAGCCCCGCCGCCCGCCCTCCGCCTCTGGCCAGCCCCGCCGCCCGCCCTCCGCCTCTTGCCAGCCCCGCCGCCCGCCCTCCGCCTCTCGCCAGCCGCGCCGCCCGCCCTCCTGGAGCAGGGGCCGGCCGTCCCGGCATGCCCATGGGACTACCACGGCCTGCTCACAGCACCCAAAGGAGGTTCTCGGGACAGCACGCACCAGAACACCAGTTGATCAAAGCACGACGGCCTCAGCCAGGAGTGACCTAAGAGCACCTCGTGCAAACCACAAGCAATGCTGTCAGAACTTTCTTCGGATGTCTGGTGGGCCGATGGGCAAGCCCAGACGTTTCGCCCCTACTTTTCCTCGCTTGTTCTGGGCAAATGGGGTCGTTCGTAATGGGGTCGCCAAACATATATGCCATAATTTATCCTGTGGCTCATGGCGCAGTGGCACTTGCAACGCGCTCTGCCGGCACCAAGCACGACCCAGCACTAACGATTGCAAGAACTACTGCGAACATGTTGAGACCCCCTTGAAAGAAACCGATAACAACGCTGTTTTCCGCTTGTCTCTGACCAGAACTTCGAGGCGAATCCAGCGGCGGCGACGAGGGCCTCCTGGGAGGGCGAACACGGGGCAAGAGTAGCAGTATGGGTACCTTGCCCCCATCCGAGCACAGACATGCGACGTCCTCTTCCTTCCAATACTGAATCCCTGGCAGTCCCAACCGCTTCCCCGGGACCAGCTGCTCATCCTGAGTCGTGCCTTGACGGCCCCGAGGCCCGGCGAGGGCCCCCCGAGGCCGAAAACGGCCAAACACCTCCCGCCCCGATGGCTCACCGACGCGCTCATGCCTGGGACCCTTCGCCCGCATCCGACCTCCGCACCCCGCCGGCCGCGCCGCCCGCCCTCCGCCCCGGGCTCCCCCCGGCGGCCGCCCCCGGGCGAACCCGCCCCGCCGCCGCCCCCGCCCTCGCGGAGGGCCGTCGCCGGCCGCGCCGCGCCCGGCCCGGCCCAGCCCTGGGCAGCCACACGTCGCGGGGCACCGATAAGGACTACTGTGTGCTCGAGGGGCGAAACAAAAAACCCTGCCCTGGGTTACTCCAAATCCCTGATCCATCGACCGCCCAAAAAACTGGACCCCCCTCCAAATGCGACCTTATATTCCGGACACCCCCTCTTCGACGGGGCGCCTCAATCAGCCAGACCCCCTGAGCTCCAGTCCAAAGAAAGCGCCCTAATAAACCGAACCCCCCCAATTACAAAAAAGAAACCTTACCGGACCCGGGGGACGATTAATAAAGGATTTGGAGTACTGTGTGCTTGCGGGATGAAAAGACGCCCCTGCCCTGGGTTGCAAGTGCGTGGTCTGTAAGCCTCCTGCGAGCTCCCAAACAAGCCAGAGAGTCGCCAGTGAGCCGCGCGACACGCGCTACACGCAGGGTATATCATGTCAGCCCACAGGAAGTTCAGCGCTCAGCGCCTCGTAAACCAGGGCAGGGGCGTTTTTTGAGCCCTTGATGTTCGATGGAAAGGATACCAGATCAAACATAAGGTGCCTATCACAAACGTCCCAGCATGTGGACAAGCCCGCAATAATCCGCCCCCCCCCTCCCTGGACAACCCCACTCCACTCGACCAAGCCTCCTCAGGATATTTTCCGTAAGACACAGCAGCAATGAAAGGACCTCTAACCCTTTGGGAGGGGACCTGAGCTAGGATGGCCAGAAACATTAGGGATAGGGGGTCTCTTCTGCGGAGGTATCAAGCCAAACCGCCCAGACTTAGAATCCCTAATGCAACGACGGGGACTGAAGTGAGGATACGTCTTCGCTATATTCTTGTTGGCTCGAGACTGGAGGGGCGAGCGACGGGCCGGTGCTTATCACAAGCCCTCCGGCCCACTGAGAGGATTTCTACGTCCTTGGGGAAGGCTGTGAAAACTTCTCGGAGGGCGGGGGGACTGCCGAGCCTTCGGAGAAGGCCCGCACTTCTCCTCCTCCTCCTCCTCCTCCTCCTCCTCCTCCTCCTTGTCCTCCTCCTCCTCCTCCGCCTCTTCCTCCTCCTCCTCTTGCTCGCCGACGAGATAAAAGGGAGAGGCTGGCACAGAGGGGGAAGCATCGAACCCGATTCGGCGATGCATCGCCGCTAGATCTGCGAGAGGACGTCCGACAGCAGGACCGCACCAGTCCTGGGCGGGGTGGGCCATCGGGCCCATGTCGGCGATCAATGGGCGATTGGGGGTCGATGCATCCCCCTCTGAGCCCATCCTCTCCTTATCGTTGCCCCAGACAAGTAAGCGACGACACTGCACGGGTCTTAATGCGAGAGGCCATGGCGACGTTAATTAAGGTGGCGTACGCGGGCCGCCCGCGCGGCACGCCAGTGGAAACGAGGGACGCTTACGCACCGATGTCGGCGCAATCGATCCCATCGTTGCGGCTCGCTCACATGTGAACCCCAGCGGGCTCAGAGGTTCAAGGATGCCTGCAACGAAGCGAGCCCCAGCGAGGGTGTTCGATACCTCAGCGTCGATGGGCTTCGCAGGGGTTTGGCTCGCATGTCAGAAGCCTCCTACATGGAGTTCGAGTAGATGGGGTCGGAGGATCGCGCCGCATCGCCACTGCATCGGCGATGCACTTGCGACGTCGGCGACATCGGCGATGTCGGCGTGGAAAAAATCAGGCTCCGCATCGAGCAGCATCGCTGATGCATCGGCGATTTGGCGCGATCATCCGACACCATCTACTTCGAAGCCACCTGGGAGGCTTAGAAATGGTTGGCGGCCCGCGCGAGTGGGAAGGCTTCTTCGAAAAAGGCTCCTCTTAGAAAGCGCCTGCCCTACGCAGGGGTGTTTCTACGAAGCCTTCCTTTCCTCCTCCTCCTCCTCCTCCTCCTCCTCCTCCTCCTCCTCTTCCTCCTCCTCCTCCTCTTCCTCCCTCTCCTCCTCCCTCTCCTCCTCCCTCTCCTCCTTCCTTTCCTCATCCTCCTCCTCCTCCTCCTCCTCGTCCTCATCCTCCTCCTCCTCTCGGGGAGACGTAAGACCCGGGTACGGGGGACTCGGAAATCCCCGACGAGGTCGTCAAAAAAATGACGGGGCCGAGCCTGCATTTTGACGAGGCCTCCCGCTGCAGACATCCCACGAAACTCCTCCTCGTCAAAATCCGAGGCGCGGTCGTCAAAAAACGATGGCGAACCCGAGTCCTGGCAAACCCGGGTCTTACGCTCCCCCGATCCTCCTCGTCCTCGTCCTCGTCCTTGTCCTCCTCCTCCTCCTCCTCCTCCTCCTCCTTCTCCTCCTCTTCCTCCCCTTCCTCCTCCTCTGCGCGAGGCTGGCATTTGCTCGTAGAAGC